CCAATCCATCCAGTAGTTGATAGAATAAATAACAATTATAACTATCAACTAATCCATAAAATCCACAATTGATAATAGAAATAATAAAACATAAGCATCAATTGTTCTATATCAAGCCTGCTAAAATTCTGTAAATTAACAGTCTTAGACAAAACTACTCCGCACAATACATTAATTGGTTTTACAGATTATACATGTAAACCAATTACCTTCAAGTAAGCATAACAGATTATAATAGTTCACATGCTTAGTTCTATAACATGTAACATAATTAACTGTCAAACCATTTCTAAGAATTGTTATCTTAAGGTTCGAGCAATTTAAAATACTATCCATCCAGAAACAATAAACCATTTTAATTCCAAATAAGCATATTAAAATATAAATATTCACACGCTTATTTTATATCACTAGAACCTGATTAACAGAGAAACTTACTCAAAGAATTTCTATTTAAGATTGTAAGAAATTTAAAATCCTTTCCATCCAAGAACAGTAAACTAGTTTATTAAACAATTATCTACGGTTCAAGCTCGAGCATTTGTTGATTTATTTTGCATTATTCCACTTTCTGAAGGGTTAATAAGACTTAGAACATCTCAAAACACTTCAATACAGCTTCCAACAGAATCTGAAAACGTGAAAATTCAAGCCCCGTAGCCAAAACCGTCGCAGAAAAACCAAAAACTGGAACCCAACTGAAAGAGCCTGCTCTTCTAAAAAAAGAGCCTGCTCTTCTTTGCTAGGAGCCGGCTCCAAGACCTCCAAGAGCCATCTCTTGGTCTCCAAGAGCCTGCTCTTGATTCCAAGAGTCTGCTCCTTCAACCTGTGAGCCGTCTCTCTTCTCTGTTCTTCATCTCTTTCACGTCCGGCGATTTTCCGATGAACTGTTCTTCATCCCTAGGGTTCCTAAGTGTTTTAATTAGATTCCAGTATGCTAAAGAAATAATTAAATTCCTTACTCACTCAACGACATTAATTATACATCAATTATGCCACAAGGAATTTAAACCGGGACAATTTCCATTCATGAACACCAATTGTTTTAGCAAATCAACCTTGCAACTAAATTACTTCCAGTGTTTCTCCAACATGTTATAGAACTACTAAAATTTATTATTCATCAATTTACATGAATTAAAACAGAATCTACACCAGAAAGAATTTAAAACAAATACAATATACAGTATATAAACACGTCCAGTTTGTAAGCATCTAACCATAGAACCCAGTTTAATTTTAATCCTTATTAAATCCTGGAGTTGTGTTAAACATGCAAAGAACACGAGTTAACGGGATAGAGTTAAGATTAGAACTTGTCTGTGAGATTCGGTTCAAAAATCTCAACGTTCTTCTTCTAAGCTTTTCCGTCTCTGTTCTCTCCCAGACTTCTTTACGTCTCTCTGTTTTAGTATGCCATGAATAGGGTTCTCAAACCCTAAATCGAACATAATACCTATACTTATAGGTTTACGCCAAAACCCTAAACTGAAAACTTGGCCCATGGAAAACCTAATTAATGTTTAATTCTATCGGCTACCTATATGACCTCTAAAAACCTAATTTAATAAAACACATCTAACGTAATTTAAATTAATATAACCATGCAATAAAAATCAATTTAACGAAATAAAACAAGTACAAACAATTTAGGACACAATTAAGTCAATTAAAATAAAAGAAAATCTAAATAAATAAACAATTAAAATAAATAAGCAAACACAAACAAATCATTAAATAATTCACCTAATTAATTCACAATTAAATCAAACAAATTTCATAATAAAACAAAGTAAAACGCACTTAAACAATTAAATAAATTCTAAGATTATCCTTTTAAAATTAGGGGTATTACAATAAACACAGCTGGAGTATTGGTTAACCCAAAAGGCATTACCAAAAACTCATAATGGCCATATCGAGTTCGAAAAGCAGTTTTAGAAATGTCACTATCCTTTACTTTCAACTGGTGATTCCTGACCTCAAGTCAATCTTAGAAAACACCTTTGCCCCTTGCAACTGATCAAACAGATCATCAATTCGTGGTAATGGATACTTGTTTCTAATGGTTTTTTTATTTAACTGTCTGTAGTCAATACACAACCGCATAGTACAATCCTTCTTCTTAACAAATAACACCGGTGCACCCCACGGTGAAATACTGGATCGAATGAAGCTCTTATCCAGTAGATCTTGCAATTGTACTTTCAACTTCTTCAATTCTGTCGGTGCCATTCAATACGGAGTAATAGAAATTGGAGCTGCTCTCGGTACCAACTCAATGGTAAAATCTACCTCTCTATCCATTGGCAACCCCGATAATTCTTCTGGAAACACATCTGTGAATTCCTGTACCACTGATACAATTTTAAGTGTCACCTCTTTATTTTCAGTATCAACCACATAAGCCAAGTAACCCTGACACCCTTTCTTCAACAACTTTCTGGTTTGTATAGCTGAAATGAGACAGTTTGGAATAACATTTCTTTCTCCGGTAAATCTGAATTCTGGCTCCCCTGGTATCTGAAATAGAACTTCTTTCTGAAAATAATCTATTGACGCATGATACACAGATAGCCAATTCATACCCAAAATGATATCAAAGTCTGATATACCTAACGGTATCAAATTCACTTTTAACTGTCTGTCCCCCATTTGTAAGACACAATCCCGATCTTCATTTGCAACCACCACCACTTCCCCCATTGGTGTAGAAATAAACAATTTACTATCTAGTAATGAAAGTGATCTACCCAAATGCATAGCAATAGATGATGCAACAAATGAATGGGTTGAGCCAGGATCAATAAGCACAGTAACATTTCTATTCAAAATAGAAAGTGTACCTGTCACCACTTCGGGAGTTGCTTGAGCATCCTGAAGTGTCATAGCAGAAACTCTTCCCTGGGCTTGTGAACCACTTGTAGCTCCCCTACCTCATTTTGACAAGCTCCCCTGTGGAAAACCTTTACCAGAACCAGCAACACTACCCACTGAGGTCACTCCTATCAACATAGGACAATCTCTCTTCTGATGACCCAGCTGATGGCAATGATAGCATTCTTCTGCTTTCAATACAGGACAATCTTTCTTCTGGTGACCTTCCCTTCCACACTGGAAACACCCCCTGCCAGTACCACGTCCTCCAAAGCTACCTTGTTGTACAGATTATTTTTCAGAGAACCCTTGACCTCTTCCACTACCTGATGTCTGCCCTTGAGATTCACTACCCTTTCCCCTTTCATACCGCGACCTTTGACTTTTCTGACTTGAAATTCCTTCACCTCCTCTTAATTGTGATGGCTCAGATTTATTTCTTTTGTATTGTTCCCTTCTTTCTTGCAATTCTTCCACATCCCTTTCGGCAATCATAGCTTTATTCACAAGTCTGTTGTAATCTGTTTCCTAAAACACTGAAACTCTGGACTTAATAGCCGTCTCTAAACCATCCTAGAATTTTGTACATTTATCTTCTTCATTATGTATAAACTTGGGTGCAAACCTCGATAAAGCTGTAAACTTAACTTCATAATCAACTATAGACATTCTATCTTGTTTTAGGAGAGTAAACTCCCGTTCCTTCTCTTTTCTGTAAATTGGAGGAAAATATTTCTTATAAAAAGCTTTAACAAATGGTTTCATAATATCACCTCTTTCTCTCCTGGACTGAGTAATAAATGTTTTGTCGTATTCCACCAATAACTAGCTTCATTTTTGAATATAAATGTAGCTAAGTTTACCTTCTGGTCTTCTGCTGCACCCATTACTGCAAATATCGATTCCATTCTTCTTACCCACCCCTTTGCTTCTTCTGGTTTAGTAGTACCTTAAAATTCTGGGGCTGTTAACTTGATATACCTCTCATAATCTGAGCCTTTTTTTCCTTTCTGTTGTCTTTCCATCCTTTCTTGTATCATCATTTGACTTGCCATAAATTGTTTGTTCTGTTCAGCGAAGTCTATTATAGCCTTCTCCATTTTCTGAATACCAGTTAAGTACTCTGTTCTCTTCTCATACCACCCTGAATGGGTTGTTCCACTTCAGCCTCAACAGGAACAAAAGAGACTTCTTCCTCGATTCTATGATAACCACTTCCTCCTTCCATTATTTTTATCTATAATGAATCTCAAATATAACAACATATATATATGATACATAATCACCACATATATTTGTTAGTAAAAAAAATCAAGTCAAATAAATAACTTTATTACACACTTCCTACTGCCAGTGCCAGTCTAGACTCTTACTACCTCCAAAACCTAGAAAACCTAGGCTCTGATACCAAAAGTTGACACACCCCAACCCAATTTACCCTATTAATTAAAGTGAACCATTGGAATATATCTAACCATCTGCATTAATCTCACACATACATGACGTCAGCATATATCAGAGTATCTGCTTAAAAGTTTACAACTTAAAACAAACTACATGCCCATTATGCAATCTCGCCAAAACTAAAACGTTAATTACAAGTCATAATGTTAAATTCTACTACAATATTTACATTTTATACAAAAGACGTTCCATTGTTATTTTCTCCGGTCACACTCAAAACTCTAGACCTGGCAGTAGCAACCCAACCTGATACCTAAAAAAAAATATAAATATGGAAGGAATAAGCTTAAAACCCAGTGAATGCAACACTACTACATCCGAGTAATATAAACAAATATTATCTGATAACGTCAATTAAACTTCATTAACATAGTACATGCATTAAAATATAGTACTCTCCTTCTAGGCCAGAGTATGAACCTTATTTAAATATAGTACTCTCCTTCTTGGCCAGAGTATGGACCTTATTTACTGTAGTACTCTCTTTTTAGGCCAGAGTATGGACCTTATTTATTGTAGCACTCTCTTTCCAGGCCAGAGTATGGACCTTATATAATATAATTAAGGTATATATGTATATTCATCTTCAATTCACATAAACAGTTTCAATACTTCAATTAAACATATCCAAGTATAAAACTTACAGTGAGTACACTCACCTTGGTTACTTTTCCAATTATTTATTTTTCCTTCGGTACCGTCGATGTGGTCCGTTCCGTCTCCTTGCCTGAACAATATTATAATCATGTCATATTCATTTATAAAGAGAAATAAATAATACTCATCACCCCCATAATAAATCTCAAATATTCTGCAATTGTAGTCAAAATTTCTAATCATAAATATTTAGATTAAATTTTACCCAATGGACTGGAGTTAAACTACAGTCGTATTAATTCCTGTGAGACCACAATTAAAGATATAATTAAGAGTAGATTACATGAAATATATGCAAGAATGATTACTTAAGCTGAAATTGAAATAAAAATTTAAATACGGAACTTCCAATATAGAACTAGAAAGACAAATTTCCCCACCTCACTACTTCCATACGAATAGCCCAACACTAGCTTATTTTCTTTTCTCCCTTTTCTCTCTTTCTTGTCCGGCCTAGACTTCTGTAAGCTTACTGTGATATATGAAGGTGTACACTCTCACCTTCTTAAACTAAGCTCTTGGAGAAGCATTAATATGCTTATATTATATTAATATGTATACTACACATTCTGTCATAAAACAGATTACAAACCCAGCTCTAAAATTAAATATATAATATATTTAAATATAGATATATAGCATCAACACATATCCATAACATACCCAGTCAAATTTGTCTAATCTAAAAGAAATTGATAACCCAATTAAGAAAGAACTAATAAATAAATAGAATTTATTCAAGAACAGATTATTATATCAACTCCAAGGGCTTCAAATAATAAATTTGAAGGATGAAGATGTAAAAGACTTATTTATATACCTATACTCCTCAGTCCTTGCTTACAGCTTTTGCGGCAACCCTTCTTTTTTCTTTTCTTCCTCTATTTTCTTCTTCTATGGCCGGAACCCCTTCTATTTTTATTTATTTATTTTTATTTATTTATATATATATTTTTTTCGTGTATATCTTTAAAACTCTTCATTTACGTAGGTATAGGTGTATTGCGTGTGTGTGCTGGCAACTTAAAAACCCATGTGCTGGCAGCAATTTCTCTCTGTAAAACTTGAAACATCAATTACTTTCTAATCTAGTAATATACACATATACTAGTCAAACCACAAGACTTATTTCAAACCATTAATTCAACTTAATAGAATACATAATAAATATATCTAAAAACTTCAAGCACCAACAAGGAGAAGTGTGGAAACTTCCACATCTAGCATCATTTGCTAATATCTATAGTCTATATTTTTATATATAATTTTATTATCTCATGGGCACACCCATGTACACTTAAAATCACCAAATATTTCCAATAGAGCTATAAGTAGTAAGCTTGATACAAAATATAAAATTCACAAAATAACTACTCCATGTCATATTCATCTATAAATCATGTCAAATTAAAATTAAATTACGTTAACTAAATTAATTTTTGTATCGGGGTATTACATCTGAATTCTGAATTTGTGTCCGAATTTCTTCTTCCTCTAGGCCTCTATTTATAGGCTTTTTGGATTAATAGGATGATGACACGTGTCCTCTCTTGATAAGGAAAAAATCATAACTGAGCCGGGCCGGTTATATTTGTGATAATTATTCTTAAATATAATTAATCCAAATATATTTTATTAGGAATAATTATCTTTTTATTTAATCATTTGGGCTGGGCTAATTAAATAATTTAAGTGGACCGAGCTTTGACCAATTAAATAATTTATTTAAACATTAGACCTATATTTAATGGATCAATTTGTCAAAATAAAAGTCCATTAAAATTTTAGTGTCTACAACTCCCTTAGTTATTTTCGGAAGAATAAAAGGACAAAACGGGTATTACATCACTAATTTATGTCAGGAGTGATATTTTTGCACAATGTGAAAATATTAGAGATGTTTTTTGCACACTTTTTCAAATATAGGATATGACTGCTATGCAGAGTATACTTTATGAGTATTTTTTACACTTGTGCCTTCAAACATATTGGTCAAGTCATATAAAATTAATATTACTATCTAATTAATACTCTTTAGAAAATGTAATTAATTGTAGAAGACTTCAATTAGTAAAAGCTTTCCAATTTTAACGGTAATCTAGCCCCTAATGATACTCCTCTCTACAAAATATGATTCATTGTAGAAGCTCTCCACATTTTTTTCATCAATAATGTTGAAAAAAATTCATTAGCTAGGTACATAATTAAGGTTAAGCTCTTCCCGTTCATTTTCGATCATAACTATTTCAATGAAAACCTTGTTGAACCAACCTGAAGTTATAGTTTAATAAGTGCAAAATTATTATAGTCATTGAACTTATCCATCTCAAACCACCAAACTTTCTCTAATTTTGACATGAAGTTACGAAAATGTCCATTCAAAATAAAAGTACTTTAATTACCAAACACTTGGTGATGTTTTATATTTGACTGCATTGCAAAGTCAATTATCATGTATGTTTAAATGTCATTGTATTCTCTCTGTGTCGATATAAAATATTATATTATTTTTACAACTGGAGTCTAAAATCTCATAACATTCTTCCTCAGTGATACTTCAAATCCCAAAGTTTTGGAATTTGAAAATGCAAAAAATTATTCAAATAATTGTCTTCTCAAAGTCGCTACTTGTAAGAGAAACTATAAGATTACATCAGAATTGTCCTTGAAAATAGATGTGAAAAGATCAAATATTGATTATCTTGTAGAATGGAAAATAAAATGCCATAAAACCTAGCTCAAAAAATATATTTATATGATTTAAACAACAAGCCTCGGAAAATACAAAAGAGAACCAAAAATAATAATTTGAATGAAAAAGAAGAAGAGAGGGGAGAGTGCTAAGCGTTGTTCTGTACTAGCAAGCCAAAAAAAAATTGCAAGTATAGGTGACACACTGTATTACAATTTCACTCCATATACACACGATGTTGATGATCAAAATGATTTGATTGATTACAAATCATGACGATGATGAGGTTGATGAAGAAGCTAACGACATTGACGAGCAAGGTGTCACCAGAGACGATCCATCCGGCAAATTCCGACACAACGGACACGTGGCATTCATTCTTAGCCACTCATCTACACAATCAGCATGAAAGAAGTGATTACATTCGGGTATGGTTCTTAACACATCTTTGGGCTGGTAGTCAGACAGACATATCGGACATGGGCCGTCGTTGGGCTTGGGCAGCCGGCCACTGTCACCGAGCACGGTCTTGGGGTAAGATTCGATGGTGGGCCCATCGAGGCCAGTCACAAGAGCAGCAGCAGCTGAATGGGGAGCGTTGGTTGTGATTGGGACTTCAGTGGGTTGGGTTCGCCTGCAATAGGTCCTAACCTTGCCGCAAATATAGCATACAATCCCAATCATGAAAACAAGCCCAGGTATACCAGCACCGATGATTATGCCATACTTGGCACTCACTGGAAGACCTGAAATTTGATTATGAAGTTTCAATAATAAGAATATTTTATAAACAATTCCATATAAAAATATCAGATAAATGCATTGAATAATCGCTCATTTACGTAGATTTTACTTGGAATTTCATGTTATACATTTTACTAAGGTTGCGTAAATTTGACTTGAATCTTATCATAATTTCAAAATAGGAAAAGTTAGACGACGTTGATTAGGCTAATTCAATTATTGGTTCAATTTTTTTAGTTTATTATATATATTATATAAAAATTATACTTTCTATAAAAAGTCAATGGAGTAGGTTTGGAGGTTGTATAAATACTAGTTTCATAAAGTTAAAAAGAAAATAAAGAAAGAGAATGGGAACTGAGGCTTGAATTTTCTTAATAGTCCAAGAAGTCAATCGACTTGGTTGTATGTATCTCATGATCATTAAATTCAATGAGGAAGCGTTGATATTCTTTTGTTTCCTTTTCGCGATTTGGACATTTCTAAATGTCAATAAAATTGAATGGCAATGCTGCTACTACCATTGTAAATAAGCTTTCATGATTATGTAGTACCACACGCCATAACATGTGTTATGCTTGTGGACAACTAGCTCAGAGATACAATTATACACTTTATATTTATCTAGTTGAAAAAATTTATACGAGTATAGACTGTTGTTATTATTAAGATTAGTAATTTGTGTTCGTGGATCGTAATCGTGACGTGTTAAGGTATTCTATTAAACAAATCAATCTAAATACGACTCGTTTAATAATAACTCTTAACGTTAATCTGATTTTGTGTCGTGTTCGAATTGTATCAAACTTTGTCACTCCTAATTATCATGACTCTGTAAATATTAATTTGATACAAAAATTCTATACAAATATATTTTATTTCCTGTCTCAAGTTTCAACTAACCCCATTTAGCCTTTTTTATTTTTTATTTTATGGCATAATATCATATTGAGTCATGCTGTTTGATAATGGATTTCAAAGAAAATCTAAAGATAAAGATACGTCTCACAACACAGGTTAGAGAGATTTTACAAAAAATTTCAAAGAAAATCATCTGACTTTAAAAACATACTCTATCATTTTTCTAAACACAAGATAAAAACGAACGGTGACCCTATGCCAAGGTATGCAACAGCCTATAAAACTTAATCATGACATTCTTAATACACATAGCGTGACAATAACGTTATCATTTTCCTCGTATGAAGCTTTAAAATATACACTCACGCTTTACACCTTTAACAACTCAATAGGTTTAGTTCACACAATTGACCAAGAAATATACATATAACAAAATTAAACGTTGAAGCTGTGAAAGGGACCCACAACAGGATACCAAAGTAGTTTCCTAGAAGGATCAGTTCAATAAAGTTCCAATATTGCTCCGTTTGCTTTTGGACTGTACAAAACTTGGTACACTGCTTTTACCATTAAGTTGAAGATGTCACATTCAACTACCACACTATTCATGTTACTATTACTCTCACAGTGTCAATTTAGATAGAGAACAGAAATTTTTAAAAGAATATGTGAAACACGCCTTGTCTTTTTTAAAAGTTATTAATTTATTCTTTTGAATTTTAAATATTTAAATTTAAAAATTTAAACTCTAAGGACATATATGAAAAGATGTAAAATATATTGTTTGGAGAAAAAAAGTGACAATTATTTTGAAACTAAAAAAAAAAATTGACATTTCTTTGAGGCAGAAGGAGTAGTATTTATGTATAATAAGAAAACAATACGTAGTACTACGTAATACTACACTATTTCCTCTGTCCCTTATTAATAATCCATTTTTATCTTTTTACATGTCTCAAATTAGTTATCCTCTTTAAAAAGTTTTTTTCTTTATATTTCTATCATTAACCTTTATCCTTTTAAAAAATTAAAAAAAAAATAATTTGATAATTTTAAAAGGGAATAATATATGAATTGCATGTTCCTTTAAAAAATTATCAAATCAAAGATGGACAATTAATAAGGGACGGAAGTAGTAACATATAGTATTATCATGGATGATTGGAGATTGAATGCGTGACGTTTGGTGCAAGGTGTAAGTGGATTATTACCTAGCCTGGGCCCCACATGTACTTATATGCAACCAGTGCTAAATTTTGACTTAACAAGCTTAAGACTTCGTCAGATCGATGTCTTCTCCGCGTATATGCACACAAAGTAGAGCTCTCTTGATCAAGATCACGAGGATTTCCGTGTATGAAAGTAATGTTGTGTTTGGTTTGTAATTTTAAAAATAATTTTTTATTTTTAAATAATTAAAAATAAAAATTATATAAAAATAATATTTAAATTCAATTTTTTAAAAATTATTTTATGAAAATTCAATTATAAAAATACATGTTTTTAGATAATTATAAAAAATTATTTTATGATAATAGTTTTTTAATTCTTAAAAATTATTTTTAAAATTACAAATCAAACAAATCCCAAATATCACACTCTAGCTTCTGCCTTTTACTTGTCAAAATTTTAAACTGACAAACAAAAACTACATGCTCTTAAAACTATATTTAAACCATATCTGAAACTACTTGCTCTTCAAAAATTGAGGTTTTGAAATTTAAATTCAATAAAAATTAGTTCAAAGTGAATTCATTGATTTCAGAACTATAGAGATATTCTTGTTGAACCGCGCATGACACACGCAAAAAAATAATTTATGCTCTTAATTATGACTAAATGATCTAATTATGACTAAATGAACATGTATAGTGATATATATATATATACATACATACATACATATATGTATTGTGTAATGAGATCACATACTTGTAAGAACAATTTAATGTTATATGCATATAAAAGTAAAACATTAATACAGGAAATTGAACTTACCGTGTCTAGGAACATTAAAGCAATCGGTCTGCAACCCTCTACTGTTCTTGAACCCACATGTTCCACCTTTAGCAACACAACCTCCACAACGTGGTACATCCCATGTCAGCCGAAGATCCTTATTAAGATCCATGCTAAACCGATCATCAACCGGAACCGAAATCTTGGCCATAGTCTGGCAATTCAGTGGTGGTGGCACATTATACGGACCCGAATCCAGAGCCAAAACCGTGAAGTTGTGATCACTTAGACACGATATGGGCAAGGCCCGGCCGTAGTCGGACAGCGACTCTGAATTAGTACAGTTGACCACCGTAAAGTTTTGAAGATACTCACCCCTAAACGGAGAATATTGCAAATCCAAGGATAGGAGCTTTTTGGGTAGGCAAAAATCCGGGTCGTTGATGTACATATACTGAGACTCGTAATTGATGCGTTTGATCACGAATTCACCAGCCGGTGGAAGGTTTATAACTGCTCGGCTCTGGTTATTGCATGAAAGATTGAACTTCGGGTAGACGCAACGTTCGTTTTGCACGTCGGGTAGCTGGAAAGGGAATTTGACTAGCGGTGGTCCGTCACCACAGAAGGATGGTGGGCATTTGTCACGGCCAAAAACAGTGTATGTAAAGGAGGAGGAGAAGAAGAGAAAGAGGGTAAAGGTGTTCATTTTTTTTATTTTGGTTTTAGGAACTTTAGACACTCTTATTTTCATTTAGGCACCATATGGTAGAGCCTTAGAGGTTATAGGTTCATTTGGCTTTGGATTGTCTGGAATTGAAGACATGACAACTCCTACAATCGGAGAGCTTTGTCTGATGGGAATGTGACAAGTAAGCAATTTTGAGGGTATTTTAGTAATTTGAGATGTGGCTTGGAAATTTTCAGCTCCAGGCTATTTGGACTTTCTGGAGTAAATGGAATTTGGTTTAGTCCTCTAGTGTGAAGTCAATGCTGTTATGGCATCAGATATATCGTCAATGAAAAAATATGGTGTATCAATTAATGATGATAGGGCCTATCAAGACAGATTTTAGATGGACGGCACCATTTAACATATGTCGTCTACAATTATATAAAATAAAATTAAAAAAATTAAAAAATAAATAAATAATGAGAAATTTTTTTGATTAACCTTTTTCTAGTTGATAGGTTAATCAATTTTTATTCTCAAATAATCCCTAATCATACCTTCCAAAAAAAAAAAAAAGTAATCCCAAATCAATTAATTCACTTTTATGTTACACAATTATAGTATAACATGCAAGGAGAGGGAATGTAGTAAGAGTGTTGAGGGCAAAATATTGTTTATATATGTCAATAAAAGAAAAAAAATTATTTTTTGTCACTCTCCAAAAACATGTATAAATATTGAAGTAATTAAACTAACAAATAAATACACTCATTCACTTAAGTTTTAACATTATTGGTTCAAAAATGATTTTATTTATTAATGATTGAAGTTCTTATAGCATCTTATAATTTATCACTGTTATGTGTACAGATAACTATGAAGAATATACTTTTCAAATAAATAATACGGCGAAGACAACTCCAATTGTATTTTACCGTTTTATTTTGGTTTTACATTGTTGCAAGGACCGGTGAAAACTATATACGAAATGGACATTTAAGTTCGACAAGGACTGCCCTTGTTATGGTCTTATTGTTTAATCACTAGATGTTGAGGCAGCATTACAACATTGACGGTACCTTCCCAAAAAAAATAAAAAAATACAACATTGACAGTGATCCTGCTAATAAATAATATTATTTAATTATTTATTATTTTTTTTAACCATTAGACAATAACTTACTCATTTGTGAACAGAAAAAACAACAAAGGACTCATTCAAAGTTTCAACTTTCAAATTGGTTATTTTTGAAAACTATTGCATCAAGTCAAAACCGTGTGGAATATTAAAATTATTCTTTGCTGCTGGAAAAGAAACAAAAAATAAAAAAAATTATGAAGTAAAAAAAAGAGAGGTAAAAGAAACCACGAAAAGCTAGCATAACTTATTACACTTACTTTTAAATAAAGGTAAATACATAGACACTGTGTATCAGTTTATTTCAACATAAAATATTCTTTTTAAAAAATATTTTTCTTTTTCAGATAAAATATTTTTCTTTTTTTACTCTGTTGGTGTTTGTATAGTTTTACGTAGATGTTAAGATTAAGTCCATCGGGACGGGGCATGTAAAATAACTTGCCGAAAATTGATAGGTAAATTATTTTTGTTAAATTTTAATATATTTTTTCTTTGTAAATATTTTAAGACAACCAAACAAAAAATAAAAAAATATTTTCTAAAAGCTATTTTATATCCAAACAAACAGAGCCTATATATTTTTTATACTTGCACTTCATGTGTCTTTTTTTCAAAGAAAATAAATGACTCAATGACTATTATTTTAGAATATTCTTACACTCAATAAATATCTCAAAAATTTCTCTACATTTCACATTCGGGACATCATTTTTTTCAATTTTACTTTAAAAAATAAAAAATCAAATGAAGAACAAATGTACAAATATCAGTGAAGAGCAAATATACTAAAATAAAGTTTCAATGTCGCATCTCTAATAAATTGAAAGTTAAATTAAATTTTGTAATGTCATTAATCAATAAATAAATTATTTTTCTATTGTTTTTCGTATTAAGTTTGAATAAGAAACGACTTTCATGTTCGGAGTATAAGAAATTGAAGTATTGGCGGTGAATATGAAAAATTGAATACGTGTTAAGTTTCCAATCGCAGCTGGATCCAGGGTTAGGACAGTAAACAGAACTTTCTATAAAAATCCAAACTTTGGATTAGCAGCTAGCGGTGGATAATTATATCCAAACACGCCCTTACGAAATTTCAATTTTAAACGTCATGCCATGCTGTGCAAAGGCTATGGAAATTCAACGACTAGCTAGGCCTCGGCCGAGACACACACACACACACACACACACACACAAAACCTATATATATACATATAGCTGCGGCTGTTGTAAAGTACAAACTAAGTGAACATTCAAAAGCTGCAAGAGTACAAATAGCAACAAACAAATTAGTCAAATTATATATTCAACCTATATAAACAAACATATGACGACATTTTGAGTGTTTGGGTAGAAAATAAATTCTTTGAGAAAATAAGACATTGCTTGGATTACATTTTTAAAAACAGTTCTCAAGAACAGTTTTCAGAGAATCAGAACAGAAAAAAGAGAACAGTTTTTTCATATTTCAAACCTGCTTGGTTAAGATAATTTACAAAACAGTTTCCGTAAAACAAAAACTCATAAAACTACTTGATTATATGAATTTTTGAAAATAGTTTTCTAAACTAAGAAAATAAATAAAAATATTATTATATCTCACTCTTTTATTTCTTTAATTTATGATATTAACAATTAATGTATATATATATATAAATAATTATTGGTGGTGAATTTATTTTAGTTAGTATTCTTAACTTAATAAAAGTTGCACAGATACAATATACCAAGTTTAATTAAAATTTGACTAAATTTAAATACAATAAAAGAGTTACATGAATTACTCCCAGTGTCATGTGCACTTTTAGTTGTACAAACATTAATTTTAGTGATACATAACCAAAATAAAATATTAGAGAATTACACAAATAGTTAATCAAAGCAAAACAATGGAAAAGCTACAAAATTTCTGAATGATGCCCACATTTGATTATGTATGTTGTTCCTTCTTTTTGATCTTTTGCTCAGAAGCTACAGAATTTCTGAAAGAATCTCAAAGAATGTTCAAACAACTAATGATATCATCTAGTCTCTCAATCATGATTTGAGTGTAAATCAATGTTGCCTTTGATCTTCACAAAAGGAGCACCAACAACCTTTCTATTCAAGCTTCATGTTTACCATAGTGGGCTTGATCTTCTAAGTCTTAAGAAATTATTCAAGCAAAGCCAACAATGGGGTCTCTAATTTAAAATTCACTCTCGTTTTCTTCTACTAATTCTCTTTCAAAGCTACTAACAAGACTCAAGAAAAAGTAACAGTTAGAATGCATCAGCAAGAGGTGTGTGTGTGTGTGTGTGTGTGTGTGTATACCGAAAGAGCCATTGGAGATTTGAACTTCTTCGTGTGACCCTTAGAATGAAAAATATTAGAATACAAAATAAACTCAACCAAAAAAAAGTGATGCCCTCTATAATGAATTTAAATATTTAGGATCAATTTCCCAAAGAGATCAAAGATTCAATACTAAACAAAATGGGATCTAACCAAATTTGTCATTTAAAAAGTGGTGCAAAAAAAAAAAAAAAAATCCTTTTGACAACATAGAACATAACACTAGTATAAGTTTCATTATCCAGAATAACAAGAGGACCACAACAACTATGTAGGAAGATCAAATAAAAATTGCTTATCAAATTAACAGGGGAAAAAAATGAACTTTGAGTCCAAGATTGAACAAATAGAAAAGAACATAAATTGGAAATAAAAATTGCTAAAAAATGAAATTTGAGTCCAAGATTGAACAAATGTCATATTTTTTATGAATGAAAACATAAATATGACAGAGGGTAACACCTTATCCTGTCACAAGAAATCTGGAGGTGTGATACTCCTCGGATCCGAGACACGGGTTGATCAGGTCCAGGACCGAGCCCGAGGGAATATCAAACAATTAATATTTTATAATGAACACAGAATACAAAATGAATTAAGAAATGAAATTAAAGCTGAAAAGAACTAGAAATAGAATCCGCAAAATATTATAATTATTAAAATCCGTCAGACCCAAACTCCAAAACTCCATCAGTTTACAACTCAGGAATCCATCTCTAGTGGACCCCTATTAAACATCCAAACGGAAGATAAAATAACTGTAATGAACATCCAGAAATAAAACTATAGAGTCAGTCCTACATTGTCGGAAGAGTGAATATAGAGACATCTGCTCAGCACGAACACGTCTAAGCCTGGAACTGTCGTGTACCTGAAAAATAGAAGTGGGTCAGGCCCACGCGCAAGTTCTACACTACTACAATCCAAACAGAGGCCCGATACGCATGTACATCCTAAACAATTCAACAATAGCTAATAGTCCGTAAATATATATATAGTCATACTAAAGGACTCTCACTGGACTACAGGCCGGTCTCAACCTGAATAGAGGTAACATGCTAAAACGCACACGAAGTGGGCATGTGTACCTAAACCTAAACAGGGTACACCTCTAACCATCGTATCCAGTTATGCATCCCAATGCATATATGCTTCCTAACCATCGATCCTGAGACTCAAGCTCATATCGAGGTACCATAATAGTAATATATTTAAAATCCATTCAAAATCCATAGTAGTGCCGCTCAACTAGTTGTTGCCATGACACTACAAATCCATATGATTTAACTTTTAGTTAATCCATTCATTAATCCAGAATAGGTAGGTTTTGGTATTTTGAAACCAAACCGTCCCTAGTATACCACCGTCCCATACCGGTGTATACTATCCAACCATCCAGCAGTTGATAATATCGGCAACTGAAGCGAATATCAACTAATTCCATACATCCAATAATTGATAACAACAAAAGTGATGTGAGCATCAATAAGTAAAGTAAACATAGTCAATACATACTATTACACAAAATCCGATATAATACTAAGTTTAAATATTAATAGTATTCCACATCCAGTAGTTGATATCACAGACATTTGAAATAACCATCAACAAGTTCATTTCCTCCAACAGTTGATACTAGCAGTAATAGTGCAAGCATCAAGATAGAATTACAGTATGTATATATACATGCTTAGTTTTGGTTGTTTCACAAAATCCAATTGATGTTAAATTTAAAACTTAGTTCCATTCAACACCAATGCATCCTACCCATATATAATTCAAATACAAGATCATGGTATATGGTGAAACATGTTCTAAAACCATTGTTCATCTCAGAAAAAAACTATTACAGAGAACTAACCACCGCAAGTCTATCAACTCCAATCATAGTATAATTATTTGTTCAAGTTCTTTACTGTCCAAGCTATTCCAAGTGGACAGATTAATTAACATTCCTTCTGGAACCTTAACCCAGACACGAGGCTCTTATAAACATTACATATTCAGTTCTAACCTCATCTGAAAAGTTCCAGAATCATCCACTGCATGAAAAACCAACTAGAAACGAAGAAAAAATTGAAAAACTGAGCAAGGAGACGTCTCCAAAAATTGGAGCTGCCTCCTTTAAACATTGGAGCCGCCTCCACACTAAGGGGAGCCGCCTCCACACTATGGGGAGCCGGCTCCCTCCCTCTCTGCTTCGTCGTTCCCTCATCCGATGGACTCTGCAGCCTCTACGCCTCACTGTTCTGACTTCCAAATCCTGTAACCTAACCCTAGTGTGTTCCCAGTCCATGTTTAAGTCCTTATTTCATTATTAATCATGAACTTAAATCAAGAATTATGTACACAACTATCAAATTTTAACAGTTTAATAACCATGCAACACATACTGGTGTGTATCAAACTTAAGCACGAACAGAGAAACGTTTTAACATACAATTAATCCTGGAACAGATTAGGAATGCAAAGAACACGAAGCCTAAGGGAGAGAGTAAGGATAGAACTTGCCTTTTGAGATTTTTGTTAAAAATCTCCACGTTGTCTTCTACAATCTCCGGCGATTCCTATTGCAACTTCCTCAGTTCCTCGTCTCTATTTCCATAGACATGTTTTGGTTTTACTTTTCTTAAAACCCTAAGCAGACTTATCTTATATATTTATAGGCAACCAAAAACCTAAGTCCAATTATATCCAAATTCTGAAACTCGGCCCATAAACACAACCACCTTTCTTAAAACCCTAAGCAGACTTATCTTATATATTTATAGGCAACCAAAAACCTAAGTCCAATTATATCCAAAGTCTGAAATTCGGCCCATAAACACAACCTAGTTTATAAACCCTGTCGGCTCATTAAATTAAACCTAAACAGAACTAAAACCCTAACCACACTTTTATACCCAGTCATTAATTAAAACATTTAATTATTAATTCAATTAAAGAAACAATAAAATTCCAAGTTAACGTAAAACAGAAAATAAAATACAATTTACAGAAAATTAAAGCCAAATAAATAATTAAAACAATTAACTTAAATAATTACAATTATCACAAATAATGTAAATAATTCAAATAATTAATTAAATCAAAGAAAACAAATAAACCAAATAATTAATTCAAATCATACAAATAAGTCAAGCAAGTCAAATAATTAAAAAGTCAATTAAAACATAAATAAAACAATTAATGAACAGAAAACAATTAAACAAAATAGCGGGACTATCCTTTTGAAAATTAGTGGTATTACATTCTTCCCCTCTAACAAAAGGAATTCCGTCCTCGGAATTCGCTCTTACCTTCTTCCAAAATTTCAGAAAACTGCGAGCGAATGACATCCTCCCGTTCCCAAGTAGACTCAGCCTCATTGTGATGACTCCACTGAACACGAACCAAAGGAATAACCTTATTACGAAGAATCTGATCTCGTCGGTCGACAATACGACACGGTGGCTCCAAATAAGTTGCATCCGGCTGCAACTCAATCTCCCCAACATCGATATGCTGATACCGATCCTCATCCCGCAGAAATTTCCGCAACATGGAAACATGAAACACGTTGTGGACGCGATCCAAAGTATCCGGAAGTGCCAACCGATAAGCAACAGCTCCAATGCGATCCGTAATCATGAATGGACCGACAAATCGCGGTGACAACTTCCCTTTCTTCCCAAAGCGCATAACACCCTTCATAGGAGACACTTTGAGTAGAACTTGATCCCCAACCTGAAACTCCAATGCCCGAGTACGACGATCAACATAGCTCTTCTGCCTACTTTGGGTAGTACGCATGCGATCTCGAATAAGAGTTATCTTCTCAGAAGTATCTTTGATGAACTCAGGACCTAAGAATCGATTCTCTCCAACCTCCATCCAACAAACAGGTGATCAATACGGTCGACCGTACAATGCCTCAAATGGTGCCATACCAATAGTCTTCTGGAAACTATTGTTATAAGCAAACTCCACAAGTGGCAAATATTCCTCCCAGTGGCCCTTGAAATCCAGAACACACGACCGAAGCATATCTTCCATAATCTAATTCACCCTCTCAGTCAGTCCCTCAGTCTGAGGATGATAAGCAGTACTAAGGTATAACTCCGTACCTAAAGCCTGCTGAAAATTCTTCCAAAATCCAGATACAAAGCTCGAATCCCTGTCCGATATAATAGACAATGGAATGCCATGTAGCTTCACAATCTCTGAAATGTAAAGCCTCGCCAACTGTTCCGAAGTGTAATCAGTGCAAATAGGCAAGAAATGAGCTGACTTGGTCAACCTATCCACAATGACCCATATGGAATTATGCCCCTTGAAAGAATTTGGCAATCCTTCCACAAAATCCATAGATATGCTCTCCCATTTCCACTCCGGAATTGGCAGTGGCTGTAGAGCTCCTGGTGGCCTCTGATGATCAATCTTAACCATCTGACAAGTACTACACTGAGAAACAAAAAGAGCAATGTCCCTCTTTATACCTGCCCACCAAAACTGCCGCTTCATATCTTGATACATCTTATCGCCTCCTGGATGAACAGAGAACTCAGAGTGATGTGTCTCAGTCATCATATCCTTCCTAAAATTATCAGCAGAAGGTACCACTAACCGTCCCTTGTACCTTAAACCTCCATCAGCCCCAACATAGTAGAATGGAACCTCTCCGGAAGTTATCTCTGCGACCTTGTCGACACACTGCTGATCGGTGAGTTGTGCTTGTAAAACCTTGCGAATGATGGAAGGTGTAACCACCATGCAAGCCATAAAAGCGTCTGACAACTCATCTACACTCTTCAAAGCATTCCACTCAGTAGTGAATAGAGCAGAAAGACTACCAACAGGTCGGCGACTGAGTGCATCCGCCACTACGTTCGCTTTCCCTGGATGATACTGTATAGAAAAATGATAGTCATTTACAAACTCCAACCACCTGCGCTGTCTCATATTTAGCTCCCGTTGAGTGAACAAGTACTGCAGACTCTTGTGATCACTGAATAATCTGAAGGACTCACCCAACAGATAATGCCTCCAAATACGCAAGGCAAAGACCACTGCTGCCAACTCCAAATCATGTGTTGGATAATTAAGCTCATGAGGCTTAAGTTTCCGAGACCCATAAGAAATCGGTCGCTCCTCCTGCATCATTACACATCCAAGACCTTGCAACGAAGCATCCGTGTAAACAAGATACTCTATCCCGCTTTGCGGAGTAGCCAGAATCGGTGCAGAAGTCAGCTTCCTTTTCAGCTCATCAAAAGCTCGCTGACAGTGTTCATCCCACACGAACTGTACACCCTTCTTGGTCAGATGAGTGAGTGGTCCTGCTATCTTGGAGAATCCCTGGATGAATCTCCTGTAATATCCTGCCAGACCGAAAAAACTCCGAATCTCAGTAGGTGATGTAGGCTGTCCCCACTCAACCACTGCTGAAACCTTGGCCGGATCCACTGCTATCCCCTTTTCTGACACCACGTGACCCAGAAATTTCACCTCCCGCTGCCAAAATTCACACTTCTCGAACTTGGCATATAACTGGTGCTCACGAAGCGTCTGCAAGACTATGCGAAGATGTCTAGCATGCTCGTCCTCCGACAGAGAATAAATCAAGATGTCATCAATAAAGACAATAACAAACTGATCCAAATAAGCCCGGAAGACTCTATTCATTAAGTCCATGAATACTGCAGGTGCATTAGTTGTCCCAAACGGCATGACACGAAACTCATAAGAACCATATCTCGTAAGAAACGCTGTCTTAGGAACATCCTGCTCCCTAACCCTCAGCTGATGATACCCAGAACGCAGATCAATCTTGGAGAAGTATGTGGCTCCCCTTAACTGATCAAATAAGTCATCAATCCTGGGTAAAGGATACTTGTTACGAATCGTAACCTTGTTCAACTCCCTGTAATCTATACACAGACGAAGCGAACCATCCTTCTTCTTCACAAACAGAACCGGTGCTCCCCAAGGTGATGTACTCCTATGAATAAAACCCTGACTGAGTAACTGCTGAATCTGATCCCTCAGCTCTCTCATCTCCACCGGTGCCATCCTATAGGGTGCCCTAGCAATAGGAGCAGTGCCTGGAGCTAAGTCTATCACAAAATTAATCTCTCGACTAGGTGGCAACCCTGGAATCTCCTGAAATACATCCGGGAAATCCTGTACAATCGGTATGTTATCCAATGACACAGTAATCCCCTCCTCATTTTCCCGTTCCACATGGAACAAATAGGTGCTACCGCCCCCTTTAGAACGAGGCATAGCTACTACATACATATCCTGACCAGGTATGGTAAAAGTAATAGATCTATCAAAACAATCAACTTGGGCATGGTAGTGAGACAACCAATCCATCCCAAGTATCACATCATAAGTGTGCATGTCCAGGACCAATAGATTGGTTAGAAATCTGAGTCTACCAATATCTAGTGTCACAGGCCCATCACTCTCATGTAAAATAGCTGTATCACCCAATGGTGTAGAAATACCCTGAGATCTAGTGCATACCTTCGTCCGCATCCCAGATAAAGCAACAAAAGTCCTAACTACAAATGAGTGTGTAGCACCTGTATCAAATAAAACACGTCCATGCAAACCATGTATAGGAAACTTACCCTCAATAGTCTGAGGTGCCTGAACATCCTGTGGCATCGGGTTATACACCCTGCCATAGTGCAACTGTTGTGGTGCCTGTCCTTGAGTCTGCGGCGGTGCCGGTAAAGCCAGATGTGTCTGTCCCTAAATCCGTGGAACCTGTGGAGCTGGTAGAGGCACTGGTGCCCTCTGTCCCTGCTGCACATACTGTCCTTGTCCCTGTCCTGCTGTAGGACACTGTCTGGTGGTATGACCATACTCTCCACAAGTGTAACAACTACCCTGGAAAGTACCAAATGGCCTCCTCTGTCGGTTAACCTGTGGCTGACCTTATCCTACATGTGGTCCCCCATTCTGTTGCCTCTGAATAGGTGCCCCATTCCGGTGAGCATCTAAACCACCCTTGTGCTTCTTCCAAGGCTGTTGCCCCTGGAACTTGCCTTTGTCATTCTGCCGGTGACCATTGCCATTCCCCTTTTCAGCTGACTGATTAGTAGAGTCTTTATCACCCCGCTTCTCACCACGAGCCTGTCTGATGTCCACAGTCAACTGATACTGTTGTAGCGCGGCGTCTACTACCTGGGCATAGGTAGTATAGGCTGGACTACCTGTAATAGCTCTCTTGATAAACCACATCAGTCCCTTGACGAAACTGTTACGCTTTTTCTCCTCTATATCCACCTCTTCCGGTGCAAAGAGAGACAAACGTGTGAACTGCTGCTCATACTCCGCCACTGTCATGTTTCCCTGCTGCAGATTTAGAAACTCGGTCTTCATAGCTGCCCTGACTGCATAGGGAAAATATTTCTTGTCAAAGCGAGCACTGAACTCATCATAAGACAATGTCATCCTCTCCTCTGGGATGGTAACTGACTCCCACCACTATAGTGCATCCCCAATTAGCTTGAAAGTAGCAAGCATCTGCTTCTGAACCTCCGTGCACTGAACCAAACGAAGATGACGCTCAATGTCCTGTTTCTATTGGTGAGCTACTCTCGTATCGGTGAAGCCTGAGAACACAGGTGGACTCCCCTTTGTGAAAGAGCTCCTAGCCTTTCCCCAAGAATCCGTCTGAACAACCGGTGCTGGTAGCGGTGCCGGCTGTACCTGAGGCTGATTCCGAAGTACAGTTGTTACCCCAGCTTCTATAGCCCGAGCAACGAGGTCATTGAGGTGAGGAGGAATCTCTGGATCCCTGACCCGTTCCTGAGCCTGTTGAACTTCCTCCCGTTCCTCCTGAAACTGACCCATGTCTTGAAACCCAAGCCTTTGCTGCTCTTCCTCCATTTGCTGACGCCGTAGGAGATATTGTTGCCTACGTGCCGCTCTCCTTTCCTTCTTAGTTCCTTGCATGTTCTGTCCATTTCTAGCGTTAACCATCTGTTAACACGAAAAGACGGACATCAGTACTATTTCTATACGAACCATAAGGAATACAATGAATCCTAACTTAAGCTCTACTCAAGAGAAAACGCTACGCGGAAGTCTTATACGATAGAATCCTAGAGACACTTGAACCTGGAGTGCTCTGATACCAACTGTGATACACCTCGGATCCGAGACACGGGTTGATCAGACCCAGGACCGAGCCCGAGGAAATATCAAACAATTAATATTTTATAATGAATACAGAATACAAAATGAATTAAGAAATGAAATTAAAGCTGAAAAGAACTAGAAATAGAATCCGCAAAATATTATAATTATTAAAATCCATCAGACCCAAACTCCAAAACTCCATCAGTTTACAACTCAGGAATCCATCTCTAGTGGACCCCTATTAAACATCCAAACGGAAGATAAAACAACTGTAATGAACATCCAGAAATAAAACTATGGAGTGAGTCCTACATTGTCGGAAGAGTGAATATAGAGACCTCTGCTCAGCACGAACACGTCTAAGCCTGGAACTGTCGTGTACCTGAAAAATAAAAGTGGGTCAGACCCACGCGCAAGTTCTACACTACTACAATCCAAACAGAGGCCCGATACGCATGTACATCCTAAACAATTCAACAATAGCTAATAGTCCGTAAATATATATATAGTCACACTAAAGGACTCTCACTGGACTACAGGCCGGTCTCAACCTGAATAAAGGTAACATGCTAAAACGCACACGAAGTGGGCATGTGTACCTAAACCTAAACAGGTTACACCTCTAACCATCATATCCAGCTATGCATCCCAATGCATATATGCTCCCTAACCATTGATCCTGAGACTCAAGCTCATATCGAGGTACCATAATAGTAATATATTTAAAATCCATTCAAAATCCATAGTAGTGCCGCTCAACTAGTTGTTGCCATGACACTACAAATCCATAGGATTTAACTTTTAGTTAATCCATTCATTAATCCAGAATAGGTAGGTTTTGGTATTTTGAAACCAAACCGTCCCTAGTATACCACCGTCCCATACCGGTGTATACTATCCAACCATCCAGCAGTTGATAATATCGGCAACTGAAGCGAATATCAACTAATTCCATACATCCAATAATTGATAACAACAGTAGTGATGTGAGCATCAATAAGTAAAGTAAACATAGTCAATACATACTATTACACAAAATCCGATATAATACTAAGTTTAAATATTAATAGTATTCCACATCCAGTAGTTGATATCACAGACATTTGAAATAACCATCAACAAGTTCATTTCCTCCAACAGTTGATACTAGCAGTAATAGTGCAAGCATCAAGATAGAATTACAGTATGTATATATATATGCTTAGTTTTGGTTGTTTCACAAAATCCAATTGATGTTAAATTTAAAACTTAGTTCCATTCAACACCAATGCATCCTTCCCATATATAATTCAAATACAAGATCATGGTATATGGTGAAACATGTTCTAAAACCATTGTTCATCTCAGAAAAAAACTATTACAGAGAACTAACCACCGCAAGTCTATCAACTCCAATCATAGTATAATTATTTGTTCAAGTTCTTTACTGTCCAAGCTATTCCAAGTGGACAGATTAATTAACATTCCTTCTGGAACCTTAACCCAGACACGAGGCTCTTATAAACATTACATATTCAGTTCTAACCTCATCTAAAAAGTTCCAGAATCACCCACTGCATGAAAAACCAACTAGAAACGAAGAAAAAATTGAAAAACTGAGCAAGGAGACGTCTCCAAAAATTGGAGCCGCCTCCTTTAAACATTGGAGCCGGCTCCAGTTTCTTGGAGCCGCCTCCACACTAAGGGGAGCCGGCTCCCTCCAAAGGAGAGCCGGCTCCCTCCCTTTCTACTTCGTCATTCCCTCATTCGATGGACTCTACAGCCTCTACGCCTCACTGTTCTGACTTCCAAATCCTGTAACCTAACCCTAGTGTGTTCCCAGTCCATGTTTAAGTCTTTATTCCATTATTAATCATGAACTTAAATCAAGAATTATGCACACAACTATCAAGTTTTTACAGTTTAATAACCTTGCAACACATACTGGTGTGTATCAAACTTAAGCACGAACAGAGAAACGTTTTAAGATACAAGTAATCCTGGAACAGATTAGGAATGCAAAGAACACGAAGCTTAAGGGAGAGAGTAAGGATAGAACTTGCCTTTTGAGATTTTTGTTAAAAATCTCCACGTTGTCTTCTACAATCTCCGGCGATTCCTATTGCAACTTCCTCAGTTCCTCGTCTCTATTTCCACAGACGTGTTTTGGTTTTACTTTTCTTAAAACCCTAAGCAGAATTATCTTATATATTTATAGGCAACCAAAAACCTAAGTCCAATTATATCCAAAGTCTGAAACTCGGCCCATAAACACAACCACTTTTCTTAAAACCCTAAGCAGACTTATCTTATATATTTATAGGCAACCAAAAACCTAAGTCCAATTATATCCAAAGTCTGAAACTCGGCTCATAAACACAACCTAGTTTATAAACCCTGTCGGCTCATTAAATTAAACCTAAACAGAACTAAAACCCTAACCACACTTTTATACCTAGTCATTAATTAAAACATTTAATTATTAATTCAATTAAAGAAACAATAAAATTCCAAGTTAACGTAAAACAGAAAATAAAATACAATTTACAGAAAATTAAAGTCAAATAAATAATTAAAACAATTAACTTAAATAATCACAATTATCACAAATAATGTAAATAATTCAAATAATTAATTAAATGAAAGAAAATAAATAAACCAAATAATTAATTCAAATCATACAAATAAGTCACGCAAGTCAAATAATTAAAAAGTCAATTAAAACATAAATAAAACAATTAATGAACAGAAAATAATTAAACAAAATACCGAGACTATCATTTTGAAAATTAGGGGTATTACAGGAGGACTGTATGGCATTGATCATTATCAAGTTCTCATCTTCTGAGTAAAATGAGGGAAGGTTCAAGTGCCCATTGAAGGAAAATGGATGTGTGAGTTTAAAATAAGAAAAAAAAAAAAAAATCTAATAATTGAGAGAAGGAAAAAGGTGAACACATAAGATATAACACTAAAAGAAGAAAGTTTCTATTATGATCTATTCATAGATTCCATGTTTCTATCGGAAACTTCTAAAACTAAGATGAACTGTGGGACTCAATATTGGTTTTCATTTGCATCGTAATCTGTTTTGTATTTTAAGAAAATAGTAGAAAAACGAGGGATTGATTTGAAAGGAATGTGTAGCTTATTTAACATTGTAAACTTAGATCTCAACAAGATAAAAGGATATATTAGATAGACTTTAGATTTGCAAATCCGAAATAACAAGATGAAATAAACTTTTTCAAATTCATGTGGGGAAGGATTCTACTATCATTTTAGGTCTCGTCATCCAACTCCAATTGCTAAGCAACCTATGTATTTGTGATTTGATACCTAATTCCCTTCATTCCCGATCAATCAGTCCCTATTTCTCTCTATATACAATTTAGTTCATATATCTCTATATACGTATATCCTAAAAAAAGTAATGATGCGGTCATGAAAAAACCAAAAAAAAAAAATCAACAAACTAGCCCTAAATTACAATCACTGTTTTGCTATCCAACAATTTTAATCTCAAACTTGCCCTAATCGGACAATTTATGAAATTTCCCAAATCACAGTTACACGATTTCTGCAATTTTACCTGTAAATTCATCGCATCGGCTACTTCAAATTCATGACAATCACTATGAACTTTGTCTGACTTGGCATCGCATCTTGGTAGCGTCATAACACTTTGCATCACGACCTCTGAGATCAAATCACATCATTTACTCTGACATAGACATACCATGAAAAAAGAGAAGAATCCGGCCAAAACCAATCAAAAACCCAAGTCAGGCCACCTTCGCAACACTGAAGAAGTGAAATTAATTATAGCAATGCCATCATCCTTAAACCCAAGTCGAGAGAACTTGATCTAATGATTGAAAAAAAGCTAGGCTCCATTCCTTGAAGGCGAAGCCCAAGTTTGAGGGAGAAAAATCACCAACATGGGACAGTAAGAGAGCAAACAACCAAAGCTTTACAGTAGAGAGGGGAAGAAGAAGGGTAGAGAGAGGAAGGAAGAAGAACGTACGGTTTAAAGGTAGGGTTTTAAACGACACCTCGTTTAGCGTCTTTTTTTGTTAAGTGACCTGCTATTCTCCGTGGTTTCTAATTCTTCTGAAAACTCCTAAAACAACTTTAAGTTGTTCTCAGAATACCCATACTCTCCTAACTCTGTTTTCCAAAAACTGTTTTTCAGAAATTGGTCCAAGCAGCACAAAAATGAGTTTTTTGAGTTTTTGAAATTCTCAAAACAGAAAACTGTTTTGGGAGAATCAATCCAAGCAGGGCCTAATTTTTCAAAGCCACCTAATTGTTTTATAATTTTATTTTTTAGAAAAAAAACACACACAAAAAAAAAAGAAAAGAAAAGAAAAAGTTAGTTTACTTAAGAAAAGTCTTCTATCTATCTGAAATAAAATGTTTATGTACGTATTTCTTTAAAATAATGGTTTAATCTAAGAGCCTCTTTCTAAAAGATTTAGCCTCTTATGGTCAAAGTGACTATTCATATTTGGTCACTCGCATGCTATTCAAACAACGAAATGAAAAACTTAAACAATTATCTTACAAGAGCTTCTTTCTAATTAAATACGTGTAACATTAACCGCTATTATTAATCTTTGGAAATTGTGTTAGATGGTTGAACCTAAAAATTTAGAATGTTAGGTGAGCTTAACTCACATATATCTATTTTATTTTTCATCCGAATTCGATGTGGGACAACTCATTCCTTCTAATACTCTCCCCACTTGAACTTATAATGTCCTCGTTGCGATCGGACCACTTTATCTATCCGGGTGACATTCACGCGGATATGACGACTTATACTAAGAGCAGGAAGGAGAATATAATGTGAAATCATTAATCACAATTAGTTGGATGGCATTAACAAGATTTACAAACGCACCAAAGATTGCCATTAGGAGTTTAGGACTGCTCTCTCTGTTTCATAGAAGATCAAGCTTATCAACAACTGTAAAAAAAAAAAAAACACACACACACACATTTATTGACATTTTGAGTGTTTGGGTAGCAAGAAAATAAGTTTTCAAAGCCACCTAATTGTTTTATAATTTTCTTTTTCAAACACACACACACACACACACAAAATAATAATAATAACAACAAATATTTAGTTTACTTAAGAAAAGTCTTCTATCTATCTGAAATAAAATATTTATTATATACGCATTTCTCTAAAAGAATGGTATATTGATTCGTGTCTCTCTAAGAGCCTCTTTCTAAAAAACATTAGCCTCTTATTGTCAAAGTGACTATAATGTCACTTCATATTTGGTCACTCGCATGCTATTCAAACATGTGAAAATCTTAAACAATTATCTTACAAAAGTTTATTTCTAAATAAATATGAGTAACATTAACAACTATTATTAATCTTAGAAAATTGTGGTTGTATGGTAACTGTGCTTTGTGACTCAATCAAAAAATTTAAGGTGTTAGATGGGCTAACACCTGACTCACATATATTTATTTCACTTCTTATTCGGATCCGGCGTGGAGCAATTCTCTCCTTGTAATACTCTTTTCGCTTAAACTCGCAATGCACTTGTTGTGGTCGGGTCACTTTACCTATTCGGGTGACATGCATATCTGGACACCTTCTGCGTCAGTCACTTGGCGTGGCACCAAATTAAGGATTGAAATTGACTCTGGCTCTATACCAACGGTAATGGACGAATACTTCGCAAACCAACCAAAAAATTTAAATTATTAAGTGAAACTATCACCCAAATTTTATATACCTATTTCACTTTCCATCATTAGTAACACCTTAGTAACATAACGGAATGTTTATGTGTCTGTGTGGACTAAAGTTTTGTGGAATCTTCAATGACAACTATGATTATTATTACTTTTTAACAAAAACAAACTATGATTATTAATGATACATTAAGGTGGTTAATAATAACTGGACTAGGTTTGTCAATCGAACTGAGTTTGAGTCCAAAGAAACCTTGTCTCGTCTGGTTAGATTTGTGAACAAGCTGGTCGAAACTAGTTAGAATGACCCTGTTTCAAATTTGATGGGTAAACATTACGTGGAGAAACTTGGTTGTTTGACTAAACCAGACCAACTCTAGTAGCCAGATATTCGATTTAGTTGCAGATTTAAATTTGTCATCATTCATGTGCCAGATTGGACCATTTTGGGCCTAATCCAGACACGATGCAGTTCTTTTCTGAAGTAGTATAAACTTTATGAATTCTGCATTGAACATGGGCCTATGGTTTTACATTTTGTTAAATGGGCTGATTTATGGCCCTTTATTAAAGTGGGCTAATATAACCTTTAATATTGGTGCTGGAGTGTGTATATGAGAGTTGCAATATGTGTGAGAATATGAAGAAACATATATGCTATCGAGTGTGGGTGGAGTAACTTGGGTCGGGAACTTGGGACATTCATCAAAAGTGGTTTTTATTTAGTATTATTTTTTTGACACATCAAAGTGGTTGAATGGGTCACAAGTTTCCTCTATCCAATTCAACATTTATGTTTAATGCTAATGCCAGCTTGGATGATAATTGAGATGCAATTTTGGTTTCATTTAAAAAATTCATTCGTTAGTGTCAATCTTCAACACCGTAATTTTGATTTTATTACATATGCATGTAATATTTTGTTAAAATTATTTAGGTAATTAACAATTTAAAGGTTTCTCTCACTTTTGTCTATTTGATACACTTTGTTTAATTTATTCCACTAATTTAAAGAAAAGGCTTCAATTCTCCTCTTAACAGCAACATTTTTTTGCAATTGACATCTAAATGTTACAAGACAAAAGGAAAAAAAATCACAAATCTTATCAAAAACACAATGTGTCATAAAAATAAAACAAAAGCGAGTTGAATTAACTACTAAGGGATTATTATTATATGTCAAACAATTAAGGGCTTGTTTAAAAACTATGGTCTTCTCAATTTTTATAAATTGAAACTACAATCAAGATTGAAAGCCAACGCCAATTAATTGAATAACAATCAAACTAGAAACTTCTTAGTATTTAGGACACCACAAAGAAATATATGTAATAAAATGATCAAAACATATTATATACACATATATATGTATGTATATATTAAGATCAAAATCCCAAACCCGAAAGGGAAAGAGCACTGCGACAATTCAAATGAGGAGGGAAATGAGTAACATTGTGCAATTGGATAGAGACCTTGGCTCGATGTGGCGGGAAAGTGTCCGTACGGCTCTCAACTAACACACTCTCATATACTAAAACCATAACTCTACTCCAAGCCCCATACCCCTCTCTCTCTTCCATTCGTGCCCTCGATCATTTTATTAGACCCCTTTCTTCGAACTTCACTAGCTCTCTCTGAAGAATCTAGGGTTTCTTCTTTCCAGGGTATTCCTCTATGTCTTCAATGTCCAGTTGTTCGTATAATTATCACATGTTAGGTCTATATAATTTAGGGCTTACATAATTATTGACTATTAAGTCTCTATATATACGTATCAGGTGAAAATGGCCGATGTATTTGAAGAGGAAGCTGAGCCTACGGTTTCAATCCAAGAGTATCTGAAGGGTGTTGAGGAACAGGAGCTGGTAAAACTCGGTCTCGTATAAAATTCTAGGTTTTTTTTTGCATTCATTTGCTTCAATTTTTTTCTGAATGGTTTGTGATTTATGCTGCTCGTCTGTTTGTTTGCTGAGAAAATGTAGGGAATGGAAATACGATTTAACTTTTGATTTAGCGTTCTGTATTAGGTACGCAGAAAACTGGGACACCAGTTCGTAATTTGCTCGTTTGGACCAGGTTTCGTGATTCAGATCTGTGGAAAAATAAAATCTAAATGTTTAAAATTCAGCGTATATCATTTTCTTTTACGTTCTTGGCATGGCAAGGAAACAGAATGTTTGGTTTTCTGCCGGTGAAGTATATGTAGAATTTAGGGTTTGTTTTGTGAGTGTGAGGGTATAACAGGTTGCAAGCGTTGTATTGTTCCTAATGTTCATCTAAATTATTTTGATATTGTTTTTGTTTTTTTATTTCATTTTTATTTCTTCATGTGCTTCTTAATGCTAAACCATTCATTATTTTAGACGATAGGTGTAATTCATCATTTGAGTTTGTGGTCATATACTAAATGGATGGGTTAGTTATAACAATATACCGACAATTCATCCAAATATTATCATATTTGATAGCAAAGAATGCTTTTTGTGCTGTCCCAATGAATGGAGATTCAGAGAATTAAAGCAATGCAAGTTTTGAGATATGCATCTTACCTAATTATTTTATCTTGTGATTATATTATGAATGTTTAAAAGGTTTTTTGTACAATAGTTGGCAGTTTATATCCTGTCTTCTTGCAGAACTAGTGGAACCATTTCTTTTTGCAATCTTTGGTATACAAACTCATAGTCTACCAATACCTTATTGCATTAAACTAAAAAGGAGGGAGAAAAAAAAAAAAGGAGACATTGTTCCATGCCCAAATTTTTTTCTATTTTGGTGGATCAATTCTTCTTGTCAAACACATGTCACTTATGGTGAAACATAGTTATACTTTTATAGTTGAATGTTTAGTTATGGTATTGTTCTGGTTTACAACTGAATGCTGGAAGATTTTTTTATTTTTTTACAAATATTGAATAATTTGATTAAAATTTTCACAGCTGGTTTATTTTTCTCCCTTCGTAATGAACTATCAAAAGTTGGTAGCTCTTGTAGCCTGTAGCAAATGAAAGTAATGTAAACTGTGTGCCAATTTAATTTAAGACTACCTGTTTCAGTATTAGCATTAAACCTAATTCACTGACTAAACGAACCATATTAGGATATAGTGATTCCCGAATATTATTGTGGATCAAGTGCTCAACAAACTTTTTTTTAAAAAGTTGCTGATCTTTATATTAACTTCATTGTTTATTTATTTATTTTCCTTTCTGTGTTTCCTAATCAATTGTACTTTAAGGAAGCGGATTTGGTTTTGGGCGGCGATGAGGGTAAGGAATGCACATATGCCAGTGGTTACATGAAGAGGCAGGCGATTTTCTCATGTTTGACTTGCAGCCCAGATGGGAATGCTGGGGTTTGCACGGCCTGTAGCTTGTCTTGCCATGATGGCCATGAGGTATCATCCAGTACAATGACTTGATTGATATGCCTAATATATTAACTTCTAGGTGTGAATATTTAATGAATACTGCAATTAGTGTTCTCTCTAAAAAGTGCTAATGCTGCCTATTTCTCATGCACTGTCATGTTACATTGTTGTACTTGCTGAGCATCACACATTTATTTGAAGACATATTTATTGCAAGAATAATTTTTTAAATGTTATAAGGGCATAATCCTATTATATCAAGGTACTATGGTTTTTGAGTCTATTCCTTCAAAAAAAAAAAAAAGGGTTTCCGAGTATATTATGGATCAACAGATTATTTATCTAAGTTGCTGATCTTTTCTTTTTCTTGGGGTGTTTTGTTCTCTAATTGTGGCTCGTATAGTATTGATGTGAGGAGTTACATTGACCAATGTGGGGTCTATAAAGGTAAGAGGCTAAGTGGAGGTCTAGGCTGTCATGGAGAACCTCCAAGAATGAGACTTGAGAGAGAAGGATGGAGGTAGATCCCCCTTTGATAATTCCCTTTATGGTGGTGATTAGGTGTCATCCCAATTTCTAGCCAAGGGGTTTTCTGTTTTCGATGGTTGCTTTATCTCTATTTTCTACCACCTCACTAACTTTTTACTCTTTTTATACTTCCTCTCTGTTGGCCAAAGACCGTTGTGTAGAAAGGGACTCCCTCTGGTCCTTAACTTGTGTTTACTTGGATTAGGTGATTGGACGGGTTTTGGGGACTCCACGAGTAAGTGTCATTTCACTTAAATAACTGTATATTTGGCTTAAGGTGGTGAATATGACTACGACCAATTTATTGAATATGCTCAATGCGGAGCTCACCCCTTTACAAATGAAGGATCGAAGACCTTTGACTTTCTCTTGAGAAATGGAATAGATATAGAATTTCATGAATAAAAAGACTCGGTTAATGCAATATTTGAATTGTATGATTCCTCAAAGTAAATTTGTTGGCCTTATTTGGTTAAAGAGGGGAACAAATGCTAAGAAGCACGGACACGGATACGACACGACATGGACACGGCAACATGGCAAATCCTAAAAAATTAGGCCACGGATACGGCGGGGACATGGCAAATAATATATACATTTTTTTTAATAAAAATGTGATGTAGTAGTTTAAAAATTAAGTGTTTTACTGTTTTTCATCAACCTCACAATGAAAAAAATACACAAGTCATAACTAATAAACTATAAGAGAACAATGTCACTAAATCATAAACCAAATAAAAAACAAGACGTTAGAATGATAACTTGTATCATTTAATCATCATTGCAACTTTACTCCAAATACAATAGCATAGTCATAACATCCGTGATTGTTTAACCATGGTTACAGCAGTCAGCAAAGAAAGAAGTAAACACAGCGGTCAGCAAAAGAAAGAACAGCAGTCAATGACTCAGCAAAGAAAGAATGAAATAAATTCTTATGTGTTTACAAGTCAGTAAGTCACAGACTCAGAGCAGCTGAAATTAAATCAAGAATTAATTCATATTTCATTACAAGTCATATGCAACAATTGATATTATATCAACAATGAAGAAGAGGAAAACAAATTCATAAAAAAAAAAAAAAAGGAAAATGAAAAAGAAAAAAAAAAAAATAAGAAGACACGCGTGTCGGACCCCCAAAATAGGACACGAGTGTCAGACAAAATACAATGGCGTGTCTGCGGAGTGTCAGCTTTGTGTCCAAAAATAAAAAAATAAAAATCCAGACATGGATTTTGGCGTGTCCGTGCTTCCTAGAACAGATGTCAGGGGCGTATTTAATGTGAAGAGATGGCCATTGAATGTGATGGTTCTGTTAAGGGGACTTGCTCTTCTCTGCCTCACTAAGGGAAGTCAAGACTCTTGGTAGAGTTGCCTAATTCAATCTCGGCTACCAAACTAATAATCTTAGGATCCCAGGAGAACCCTTCAAGATGTTCCTACAAACTTTGCCTTTGGTTTGTCGGCTCTCCTCATTGAGTCTAGTTCTTGGAATTAACCAGTGCAAGGGACTTCTTGAAAGTTTCAAATCATCCTCCTTGTTTATTCATAGAGAGGAGCACCTTCAAGGTTTATCTGTAGATTGGAACTCCTCTAAGCTTATTATGAATCATCGAGGTTTATCCATGGGCATATTCAACGCTGATCTATATATGCATCTGTGAGTAGAGGTAGCTTTATTTGCATAGAAGGGAAGCAAAGAGGTCGATCAAAACTAACATGGAATGAAGTGATAAGAAATGATTTAAAAAAATTAAATCTAGTGGGAGATATGGCTTATGATAGAAAAGAGTGAAAAAAAAAGAATCCATGTGGTTGACCTCGTTTGTGCGGGATAATGGCAAGGATAATGATCAAGGTTTATCCGTAGAGAAATACTCCTCGTAGTATTGTGCTGGCTACAAGGCTTATCTGTAGAGAGGAGGTCCTCGATTACATAAGCAAGGCCATTTCATGGACCTGGGTATTCCATGGAGTTTCATTAGGTTTCCAGCGCTACAGCTGTTTCACTTAGCTTGATGTTAGTATTTCCATGTGAGACACACCCGCACATGTATATATAGATGTATCCATTGATGGGCCTTCCATGTGACCGGTGACACTATTCACTCTTAGTACGTCAAGAGTTCGCCATCTTATTTTATTTATTACCATTATTATAGTCATATGTGCCGCAGTCATCATTGGTGACACGTGGCATGATTAGTCATGGGATATGGCTAACCTTCCACCTACACTAACCAATAGTATTCACGACCAAGAGTTTAGTTTTAGTGCCAAAAAAAAAAAAAAAAAAGGAAAGAAAGAAAGAAAGAAATGAGAAGAAAAGAAAAAAGTGTGATAATCCTATTAAAGTATGTAGTCAATTTAGTTGATCATTTTCTGGAAGTACTTTTAGTTGATCAGTTGATCATTTTCTGCTTTCAAAATTTTTTCCCTTGTCAGTTGTATTGTCATACACTGTTTGAATAAAATGAATCCATGTAATTACGGTTATTGATTTTTGTGTTTTATCTACATGGTTTTCTTTCTTGTCGAGAGTTCTCTTCATGAAGACTTTTTTTATTTTGATTTTGATTTTTTAGGGCTGGTTCTTTCTTCTGTTGAAAACATGGATTGCTTTCCTTTTGGTTTCTCCAAACGTATCTGAAATATTACCCTGTTTACATATACACTTTACATGGTTTTGAAAGTTGACCTATTTGGCGACAAATTATATGTCATAATTTGCACTCATATATTTGTCTAGATGATACCTCCTGCTCAAATTTTGTTGCAGTTTTCTGTGCTAAAAACTCAGATTTAGTAATACTATCCTTGTAATACTTTTTGTTGTTTTTGATGGTTGTGTGTCATTTACTACATGGACAAGATCTTGGAATTGTGGACGAAGAGAAATTTCAGGTGTGATTGTGGGAATTCAAAATTTGGGGAGTTCTTCTGCAAGCTTTTTCCAAATAAAGATATAGAAAATGTGGAAAATTCATACAATCATAACTTCAAAGGTTCATACTGCACATGTGGTCGTCCTTATCCTGATCCAGATGTTGAAGAGCAAGTAGAGATGATTCAGTGCTGTATCTGTGAGGACTGGTTTCATGAGGAGCATCTTGGTCTGGGGTCTTCTGATGAGGTTGGTAGCTCACATGTTTTCTCATTGGTTTTCTGCCCATGGTATCTCATTATTGCTGTCACGCCTTTTGGTTTATTTTTGTTCATAGTATATTTTCCTTGCAATCAGCTATTCCAAGGGCCAATACCATGCGCTAATAAGTGTGGTACTGTACAAGGGTTGCTGATCAATGCTGGTAGATTAATTTACAAAATATTGGAGAAATGTTCAGGGGTGGAACCTCTGTTTTTTTTTTTTTTTTTTTTTTTTCTCCCATTCCCCCCTCCCTCCTGGTTGGAACCTCTGATGACTTACTTAACTACCTATTATAGATTAAATCTCCAACATATGGAGAGATGGTCATTAGGTGGGATAGATATGTGTATTATCATTTCATCTAAGGTTATGAACTGTCCTTTCGAGGGATTAAAGTAACGAAGTGAATGTTTATGCTGCACCTATACCTATGTTCGTGGCTCTAAATGTGATACTGGCCGCCTTAACGGCAATAGTAGTGGTGGCGCATATGTGTGTGGCAGACGCAAACGATTGGAACTGTCATTTTTTATTTTATTTTATTTTTTGTCACAGTTTCTGCAAATTGTGGCGATTTACTTGTTTCAGCTCATATCGCATAAATTTAAGTTTTATTATGTTATAGTGAATTGTTTGTATTTATAAAACATGATATAATTTGACTATTTGAGTACGACTTTTTATTTATTTTAAGTTGTCGGCAAAAAACCTCACTGTTTTTGTATAAGTAAAATAGGCGGTAGATCCATAGAGATCTAGGAAAGTTGTATATAGGCTATTGACAATTTTTTAAATTTTAACTTCAAATCAGAGATCTGTGGATAGAATTGATAAATCAAAACTAAATTTGCTCACAATGGTAGAGAGTAAAAATAAAATTTGAAACTTACCATTGAAACGAATAATCGAGAAGCTTGATTGAGATCTAAAGTTAGATCTCATAAGTTTGTTATTTTGGATGTTAAATTTCTAGTTATATAGTGTTTCTATGGCATTCCAAGATTAAAAGCTAAGTAGCACAAGCATGGACATGATACAACATGGATGGCTGACATGTAAAATCCAAAAAGTGTAGGACATGAACATGATTGGACATGGCTATATATAAATACGATTTTTGTTATATACGTATACGATTTTTTTTATTTTTTATATACGTATGTTGAAAAGATAATTATAACTTTAATTAATTTTTAATTTCTATGCTAAGTATTGCATATTTAGAAAAAGTATCATTGCATTCTTGACATGACTTGTGGTGACCATGTGTTATACTTTTGGGTGTGTTCATATTGTTTCCAATATCATTGGACCGTCATGGTTGTTAAATGCTCAAGACTCAATATAAGGCGCAAGCCTAATCAAATTAAGGCACTTGTGTAATAGTGCATATTAATTATAAGTATATGAAGAATAATTAATTTATGCAACACAAACATGTCAAAATAAGAAATATTTTCAACATATCAATTCAATGGATTAGCTAAATCTGCACACATATATCTTTTCTATTTGCAAGTATATTCAATAAAATCAATGTACAATTGGAACAATTCAAGATGCGCGACAAATAATAATGGGATTTTTGATATTTCAACTAAGAGGATCAAGTAAGTTAATGCTCATAAATCCTTTCATATGCATATGCATTAACCAAATTAAATGTGATTACAAACAATTAAAACTTTAATCATGCAAACCTTAAACATATTTGTCATAGATATTCATAATCAAATACTGAATGCAATTAATGTAAGTAGTGAATCATAACGTTATGAATTTTGTTAAATATTTTATAAATTTGAACAATATAAAAAAAATGATGGCGTGCTTTTTTCGAGCTTGGAGCCTACTAAAAAGTGCGAGCCTGAGGGCTTTATTGGAGCCCGACTGAAGAAGCCTAGCCTGTACTAGGTGGAGGCACTCTAGCTAAACCTTGATGAGCCTGGGTCCTTTTTGGAGCCTAGGTGTGCCTTTAACAACTATTCACTCGGACGTGCATACTCTTAAATGCGTTTATGTCAAATAATACTTGGTTGGGAATGTCTGGGATAAGTTAGTCAAGTGTCCACTGTCTAGGTGTCGGCTAGGTGGAGCGGCCCATCCAAAAGAAGTTGTTTGCTTGGCTCCTAGACCTGATGAGTTGGGCTATGGATTGAAGGGTGGATTGGGTTCTTCTATTTCTCTTTCTGGGCCAGTTTTGGGTAACCGCTTTGGGCCGTTGAGTAATATTGTGGATGGCGTTGACTCTCAACCATCTGGTGCGTTTTCTGAAGGTTCCAGAAGAGGTCGGTGTTCAAAAAGGATTGTGCAGAGGCATCGTTTGAAGAAGAAGGTGTTTCTTCCTGCTTTTCGAAAAAGATGGACGAGAAAGGAGAAGCAGAAGTGGATTCCGGACTAACAACTTGACTCTGATTCGGGTAAGTCTTTTGTTTTGCATGAGCCTTCTATTTTTCTCCCTTCTTCTTCCTTTTCTTCTCACCCTTGTGGGGAGTCACGAAGGAACTTGGGGTTGAAAAAGGGGGTGGTTTCTTCCGTTTCAAAATGTTTGTCCTCGGTTTTTGAAAGGGAGTCGGAACCTGTTTGTGAAGATCGACATGGTGGAAGTAGTGGCAACGAGTTGGGATCCCCCCGGATATGTGATGTTAACAGTGAAGGTATTACTGTATGTGTCGGCCGGGATGTGAAAATCAAGATTGATGATGTTTCAGCTGCTGTGCTCTTGAATGATTTGCGAGCTCATCTTGCTTTGAAAGGTTTTCAGTATGAGTAGAATGATCATTTGGCTGATGAGGTGTTTGGGACCCCATTATCTAGCTGCTCTCCATCCCTATCGAATGTTGAGAATGGGGAGGATGGGTCGTGTTCATCATTTCAAGGGGGCTTGGGTATGGTTCTGTGGAATGGATGTGAATCTGATTTGGAATTGCTTACCCCTTTGGCTGTTGTTAGACCGGAAGGGGATTTTGTGGAAGGGATTGATTTTGTTACAGGTGTGGCTGACTTGGAGGATGATTGGGTGAGGGAAAAGGGTGCTGAGGTGGGTTCCCTTTTGGGGGTTTCTTTCGAGGGTTGGATGGAGGAGGCAACCAGTTTATTCCTTGATGTTCTTAATGCTCAGTTTGCTGATAGAATGGGTAGTAGGGAGAGCTTCCCAGTGGAGAGGGAGGAGAGGGGAATTCCGAGCCCCACGACGTTTGTCACTTATGAAAGGAGGAATAAGGGGTCTAGGGAGAGGGCTAGTGGTAGGAGGGGGGAAATTATCAACTCTACTGTTTCCCTATGAAGCTATAAATTCTTTCTTGGAATGTCAAGGGTCTTAACGACCCAGCTAGAAGGAAAGTGGTGAAATCGGTGATTCGGAAAGCAGGTGGTCATGTTGCGTGTCTGCAAGAGACTGAGATTGTCTCAATGACGGATGTGATTGTTCGAAGCTTGTGGGGAGGGAGATTTGTGGAATGGTTTGCTTTGAATGCGATTGGCTCTTCGGGCGGTATCCTGATTATGTGGGATAACCGGTGGGTCTCTTTGTTGGACTCTCAGGTTGGGCTTTTCTCGGCTTCCTGCGTTCTCTTTATGGTGGAGGATGGCTTTTGTTGGGTTTTTTCTGGTATTTATGGCCCTCCAGAGGATTGTGTCTGTCATTTACTTTGGGAGGAATTGGGGGAGGTTCGTGGGAGATGGTCGATGCCTTGGTGTATCGGTGGGGATTTCAATGTTGTGCGTTCCCCTTTTGAGAGATCGAGTGGGGGCAGATGGACAACTGACATGGTGTCCTTCTCGGAGTTTATTGATGCATTTTGTTTGTTTGATTTACCTTTGGTGGGTGGACCTTACACTTGGTCAAGTGGTCGCTATCCTCCTACTCTCTCTCGACTTGACAGATTCCTTTTGTTGAGTGATTGGGAGGAGAAGTTTTTCGATGTTGTTCAGTCCACTTTGGCTTGCCCTTTGTCTGATCATGTTCCGTTGATGTTGGACTGTGGTGGGTTGCGTAGCAGAAAGTCCCTTTTCAGATTTGAGAATATGTGGCTTCAGGTTGAGGGTTTTCTGGAGCAAGTTCGATCCTGGTGGGTGGGATATGGAGTGAGTGGCTCCCCTAGTCATTCTCTGGCAGGCAAGCTTCGTCTTTTGAAGAATGATCTTAAAGTTTGGAACAAAGAGGTTTTTGGAAATTTGGCTTGGCGGAAGAATCGTGTTCTCTTTGAGATTGCTAATATTGATAGGATGGAGGGTCAGGGCCTTTTGCCGGTTCCTGTGAAGCTTAAGAGGGTGGAGTGTCGGGCAGAGTTTGCTGAGATCGCCGCCATGGAGGAGATTTCGTGGAGACAGAAGTCTAGAGCTTTGTGGCTCAAGGAAGGTGACAATAATACTAATTTTTTTCATCGACTTGCCAATGCTCACAGAAGGGGCAATCACATTGGGAGGATTCGGGTGGATGGGGAGATGTTTTGCAAGGAGGAGGAGATTTGTAAGGGTTTTACTGATTACTTTTCGAAGTTGTTCACTGAACCAGCTGGTTGACTCCTTTTGCTTGATGGGCTACACTTTGATTCTATTTCGGGTGAGGAGTCTTCTGCTTTGGAAGAGCCTTTTACGGAAGAGGAAGTTTTGTCTGCTTTGAAGAGCTGTAATGGGGATAAAGCCCCTGGTTCAGATGGTTTCTCTATGAGATTCCTTTTGGAGTACTAGGAGGTGGTCCGTGAGGAGGTGACGGGCTCTTTTCACGCCTTCCATGTTCAGGGTTCTTTTGAGAAGAGCTTGAATGCCACTTTTCTTGCTTTTATTCCGAAGAAGGGTGAAGTGATGGATGTTAGGGATTTTCGCCCTATCAGTTTGGTGGGCTGTTTTTACAAGTTGATTGTGAAAGTTTTGGCCTCTATGTTGAGGAAAGTTATGGATGGCGTCATTTTTTATTCTCAGAATGCCTTTGTGGGAGGTCGTCAAATTCTAGATTCAGTTCTTATTGCTAGTGAATGTGTGGACTCCCGTTTGAGTTGTGGGATTCTGGGTGTTTTATGTAAGCTGGATATTGAGAAGGCATTTGATCATGTTAGTTGGAGCTTCCTCCTCTATTTATTGGAGAGGATGGGGTTTGGCGGGCATTGGAGGAGATGGATTCTTTTCTGTATCTCTAGTGCTCGATTTTCTGTCATTGTGAATGGAGCTCTGACGGGTTTTTTTCTCTTCTTTGAGGGGCTTGAGACAAGGGGATCCGCTTTCTTCATTCTTGTTCCTTTTTGTGATGGAGGCTCTTAGCAGATTGCTAAAGACGGTCGTGGAGTTGGGTTCCCTGAGATCGAGATGTTTGCTCAGATTCTTGGATGTCGCACTGACTCTTTTCCCATTTCTTATTAGGGTTGCCTTTGGGAACCCCTTCGAGATGTGTAGGGAGTTGGGATCCGGTTGTGGATAGATTTGAGAGGAGGCTGGCGGGTTGGAAAAAGCAGTATCTCTCAAAGGGGGGTCGGGTTACTCTGATTAAGAGCACCCTTTCTAGCCTCCCCAGTTATTTCATCTCTCTCTTCCAGATTCCTTCTGTGGCTGAGAGAATCGAGAGATTGCAGCACAACTTTCTTTGGGTTGGGGGGGGAGAGGAGTTCAAATATCATCTGGTTCGGTGGGAGCATGTGTGCCGTCCGATTCGGTGTGGAGGTTTAGGGTTAAGGAGGTTGTTGCCTTTCAATAAGGCTCTCCTTGGAAAATGGTTATGGAGGTTTGGGATTGAGAGGCATTGGCCTTGGAGGAGAGTTATCACAAGCAAGTTTGGGGAGAGCAGTGGTGGGTGGTGCTCTGCTGAGATTCGTGGTCCTAGGGGGGTGGGGGTTTGGACTCTTATTCGGAGGGGTTGGGATGATTTTTGCAAACATGTTCGATTTCGGATCAAAGATGATAGGAGGATCAGATTTTGGGAGGATCTCTGGTGTGGGGAGCTTCCTCTTGCTCTCGCTTTCCCACGGCTCTATAGGATCGCTTCTCATAGACAGACCATGGTGGTTAACTGTTATCACCTTGATAACGGGAGACTGACTTGGGATGTTCACTTTAGAGGATGTTACTCGTTTTTTGGAAGTTCTGTATCGCCAGGTGATCATAGTTGGGGATTCGGATTGTTGGCTTTGGGTTCCTAACTCTCAGGGTCGTTTCGAGATTAGGTCCTTTTTTAAGTGCCTTTCGGTTGATTCCGGAGGCCCTTTCCCTTGGAAGTCTATTTGGCGATCTAAGGCCCCCCGTAAGGTTGCCTTTTTCACTTGGACTTCCGTCCTGGGCAAGATTTTAACCCCAGGATAACTTGAGGAGGAGGAATTAAGTGGTGGTCAATCATTGTTATATGTGCTTGTGTGATGAGGAGACAGTTGACTACCTCCTTTTGCACTGTAGCATGGCCAGAGACTGTTGGTATTTGATGCTTGGATTATTTGGGATCCATTGGGTTATGCTTTGTTCCTCTAGAGGGTTGATCGAGGCTTGGAGAGGTGTTTCTGTTGGGATTCTCATTCAGGAGGCTTGGAGGGCTACGCCTCTTTGTATTTGGTGGTGCATTTAGCTTGAGCGAAATAGGAGATATTTTGATGGAAAGAAGAAATCTATTTCTACGTTTAAGTTTTCTATTATTTCCACTCTTTTTTGTTGGGTTTCAGGGAGAGATTATAGATCTATTGAGGAGATTATTGTGGTTTTGGCCTCTTTGAAGGTTTAAGGCGCCTTGTGGCCCTTGTGTTTCCATGGGTTCCGCTCCCCTTTTGAGCGTTTTTATAAAATCTTACTTATCAAAAAAAAAAAAAAAAAAAATTATGAATGTCCATAAAGTGTTGTATACGTGTGTAAGAGTGCTCGTCAATTGTTGGTATGTGATGTGTGTCCGAAACGAATGAGGCACCTTCATAGGAGTTTCTATACTTATTCTACAAGCGAATTGAAAAAGAAAAAACTTAGGTAGGTAGATGAATTCAATATTTACATTTGTAACAGGCCATTACAACCTCCGACCTCTTAGTGGATTGCTATGCCACCAAAGTGGATCACTACAACAGAGTAGCAAGTGAACTTCAACAGGTCTGCTACATCAGTTCAATGGATTTGGAACTTGCCAATACTGTTACTTAATGGTTTAAGCTGATTTTCAAAACCATGTCTATGTTTGTATCTGAAATTAGCAGTATTATCGTATTAGTTTATGCTTCTTCCAGGTATTATTCCACTCTGTTGTTGATGCATGTTGGCTACCTTAGAGTATGATGGTTATGAAACCATAGAACGTCTAATGTTTTGAAAGTCATTATGTCTTATGCAATCTGTGCCTTTTGGATTCATTATGCAACACTGAGATTTGCCTCATGCTGAGCCCTGATAGCTTATGATCCGAAATTGAGGAGCACTTAAACCTTAGGTTTAATTTATTGTTTGAGCTTTTCTTTTTATATATCTACTAATTTTTTTATCAAGTATCAACAGGATTGAGCATAAGAATCAGCTTCTTTAGTTTTTATTTTTATTTTTATTTTTATCCCTGGGTAAATCAGCTTCTCTAGTTCAAATTATGTATTATATTACTTTTTATTTCTGTGATAATTATGTAATTTCTTTTAGTGGTATGAGATCCTGTTATTGGCTCTATACCATATTGAAGATTTTTCCTTAACAAAAAGATGTTCTGGGGCTCCGTGTTGCAACAATTTCTCATTCATAATTATATATATATATATATATATGTATATAATTAGGACTCAAACTTACTATTTAGCGCTCCATATCTTATGTGTATTATTTTTTTGGAATCAGATTTTCGTCTTGTGTTTTTCCACTTTTTTTCATTCTGACCTCTTATTATGATTAAGATCTACATTCATCCTTTGCTTGTACCACAGATTCCAAGAGATGAAGAAGGAGAGCCTCTGTACGAGGATTTTATCTGTCCTGCTTGCTCAGAAGTTTGTTCTTTCCTGACCCTTTATCCTCAAAACATTTGGGCAGCAGTTAGGCAGCCTGATGCTGCTAATACAGCCAAAGAAAAAAATGTGTTGGAAGACATGCCTTCAGCTTGTGGATCCTCTGGGGAGTTTGAGAATGCTGTTTGTTTGTCTGGCTCTTCTCCCAAACCGGACATTGCTGTAACCAATGTTGATACTGAAGCTGTGTCAGTTGGGAAGAGTGAGTTGCTTGTAGGAAATTTTGAGAGTAATATGGGCTTAAATCAGTGCATCCAAGGTGCTGGGCCAAGTTCCACATGTCTTATTGGAGTTGATCTGGCTGTAGCTCCGCCTGTTTTAGAAAATAGTAAACCAATGTTCCTTTCAAAAAACTGGAGAGACATCATTTGCAGATGCGATAAATGTGCAGATTTCTACAAGCAGAGGAGAATTAGTTTTTTGCTGGACAGGGAGGACTCGATTGCGGAGTATGAGAAAATGGCAAAGCAGAGGAGGGATGAGAAGTTGCAGCAACAAGAGGGTGTTGAGTTGAACTTTCTTAATAAGCTTGGTCATGTAGAGAAAATAGAGATTCTGAATGGCATTGCCGACATTAAGAATGAGATTCATTCTTTCCTGGTATGTCCTTGGTATTTGATAGTTTAATGCTTTGATTAATGTTAATCAGTCTTACATTTCAAAACATAATCTATTTTTTCATTCAACTAGAGCTATTTGTTTATAATAACACCTGTCAATTTTTATTTGCCCTTCTTAGGAGTCCTATGACCCATCAAAGCCAATCACATCTGCTGACGTTCACCAGGTTTTTGAGAATCTTGCAAAGAAGCGGCGTATGCTTTAAGTTATTCCTTGAATCTTATTACATGTATAAACTGCCAGTTCTCTCTAGTTAGTTTCGAAGTTTGTCCCCGGTTCATAGACATCCAAAAAGCATGTATGGTTTTGCTGTTTTTAGAAACATAAGGATTTTACTTGGCCTGCTTTTCTTGTTTGGAGCTTTGGACATGTAGAATTATGTGATTAATGATGATAACAATCTTCTAGCACTCGTACAATTTCACTTGTGGAGGTGCTATGTTTATGAAGACCTATGGAACCCATGACAAGTTGATGGTCTAATGTCATCTATATGAGAACCTGGTTTTGATCCTATATGCCTTGTAGAAGTGCAATGATGTTTTCCTTGTTCGGGGTGATTTTAGGGCATGATGCTTACGAAGTTGCATTTTGTTGGACTCTGCTTGTGTAGGTTCATCACAGAATATCCCTACTCAAAGCTCAATGGTTAGGACACAACATTGTAGATCCTGAAATAATGTTCAAAATGTATTATTCTTTAAAAAACTGAACCAAAACAGGTCTATACTTGTTTAGATCATAAACGGTGTTACATAAAACAGAACCTGAGTTGAGCTTTGAGTTTTGAGCATAAATAACTGGATGTGGGTGGAGTTTGGTGTTTGATTATAGCTCATTCAATGTTCAAGCAGGTTGGCTTGAGCGATATTTGGTTCTCTCATACCCAGTCAACCTACTTTTTATGACAGGATTTAAGCTTGTTATGTTTACATGGCCTAAAGGTTGCGGTCTCATTCCAACAAGATGAACCCATCACCACCAAAACTGTCATAGAATGGTGGTGTTGGAATTCTGTCTGAATCCATGTCACACAGCTCGGAGCTGAGTGCCAAGCGTTTGAGCAGGGACCATTGTGAATAAGGTATGAAGACTGATCACAATTTGCTCGAGAATTTGATTCTCATCAGTTATCATATGATTATAAATATTAGACTCTAAATAAGAATCAACATCATAACATCAATTTGTAGATCTGTCGTAGATTTTGGAATCGTAGAAATATACACCTTCACTACAGCGTAGAATTTGCAATTAATCTTAATTTTGAGATGGGGCCTACTAAATCTTGATCAAGGATTTATCACTTGGCTAGAGATGTTTCCCGTAAAAATTAGAACTTGTCAACTCTGTAAAACAAGTGAAGTGGGAACAAGATTAGGTCGTTTATGTTCCTGAAGAGAAGAAAATAGTTGGCTTTCAGTGCTTGGAAAAGTCTTTCAAATTTTAAAAATCAGGCATAGCCACCATGCCACCTCAATTGTGGAGACTGTCTAGTGAACATCACTATCCACCGATCTGTGAAATAGAAATTATCCTTTTTTTAAAAATAAAAAAAAAAAATTATTAAATTAAAGATGTCACGTTATCCAAGACAATATGACTTTAAACACAGTTAATTAATCAGAAATTTCTCTAAAGAAACATTATTTTCTTGACTAGAGTTTTGTCTAACTTTAACGTGATAGATCCCTTGTAACCTTACAAGTCAAAATATTAGCAAATGGATCACGCTTGCATCTTCCTTTGTGCAAAATAATAATAATAACAATTCTTCCTTTGCGCTAATCTTTTCTAATGCGTCATGTATCGGCATAATTACGTAAATCAAACGCGTTAATGACTTAATGCCTGTTATTTTTATTTTGTTATTATTATTTTTGTTGTGCATTAAGAATTGATGTTTTATTACATAGTTTTTCGTTTCGAGTTGTTTTAGAAATTAAGAAGATGAAAAAATAAAACTTACAGTAAAAACTGTTGGCATTACTGGATAAATTTTTTTTTTTTTCTTTTCGAGTTGTTTTAGAAATTAAGAAGACAGAGAAAATAAAGCTTGAAGTAAAGACCGTTGGCATTACTGGATATATTTGGTGCCGAGGCCAACGCCAGTCCAGTGACATTAAATTAGGGTAATGCTATATCTGTGTATATATATATATATATATGCGAGTGCTTACACTTTTATGACAAAGATGATGACGTTATGTCAGCAATAAAGAGCCTAGAACATATAAGACAGCTTCTTTCGAGTTATAGAATCATTGTGTGTGTTAGGGGTACCGTGAATAATTTCTTACCATAAGTTTGGGTGATTTCTACTTCACATCCATCTCATATAAATTTTAATTTTCTTATCCAAACATATAATTAATGATAAACTCTCTGTTTTTTTTTTTTTTTTTTTTTTTTTTTTTTTTTTTTAAATCTAATCATACTTAAATATTGAGATACATATTTAATGATTTGAAAAATAATAATATAATGATTAAAATTTTGGATTAAAATTCACTTAAAATGGATCACACATTTTAATTATTTATTTATTTTAGTCAACCAAATTAAATTGTTATCTTTGACTAACTTGTTTGATTTTATTTTAAAGCATTGAATTATGATTCATCTACTGTCAAATCATTTTAACGTGGACAACACAATGATATGACTCGTTGGTTATAAATTTATACTTATTTCTTACTAAAAACATATTTTTAAAAAAAAAAAAAAAAAAAAAAACTCATGACGAGTTTATGCTATCGTGATACAAAATATATGGAGTGACTCAAAATAAAAATGAAAACGAAATTTCACGCTTATCGGAGTCCATGCACCAACTAAAGAAAGGCATGTTGTGAATAAAAAGCATTTCGCAATTTCAGCAATAAAAAGTGTAGTAATTTTGGCTTTTTGTGTCTTAAATTCAACTTGGTTGAGGAAGTTTGTTAGACTTAAAGTTCAAAACGAAAAGACATGAAAGTCCAGTTTGCATATTTTTAAGAGAAAAAAGTTGAATAAAGTGTTGCGCAATTCATGTGAACCAATTAGGCTATTAATAATAATAATATTATTATTATTATTTAGAGTACGCTTGTTCTCATGGGTACAACCAAATTATAACATTAATTATCATAAATGACCCTCAAAATATTAAATAATTGGAGGGTCCATTCAAAAATAAAATACAAAAAAAAAAAGAGAAAAAAAAGGGGAAAAGTTGTTAGCTTGAGACTGCGGAGTAGTTTTGAGTCTGGACCTATATGACCCAAAGAGTCCCACTCCATAGGTCCATACCTACAGTCCAAGGCAACAAAAGTCCTTGTTATTGGGGGCCTTGGTTAGAAATTATTATTATTATTATTATTTTTAATTTTTTTATTTAGTGTTTACCTTACTTTGAAATTTCATTCTATAGGAGTTATAAGATTTTTTATCCACCAATACCAAATAATAATAATAAAAATAAAGCTTTGTGCCCGTGAAAAACGACATTGCTTCCTAATTCCAATTTGGTCTTCCATAAATAAATATATAAGCAGATACATCATGCAAATTATTAGGTATTGGTTTTGGTGGTGGGGCTACAAGTCTTCAACCTCAGCATAGCTTTGTACCCGTGATTGTGTCCGGGATTTGGTGATTTTAAGACTTTTTTTTTATGACTTTAAGAGACCATTTTGAACGAAATTTCGATGCACCTAACTGTTGTTGTTTTTATTGTGAAAATAACAACAGTAATGCCATATATATATATTCATTATTGTTTGCAGATAATAATAATACCAATTGTATTATAATTATAAATTTTTATTTTTTTAAAAAAATAGCCTCTAACGTAAGGGAAAATAATAACAAATGACATGAAAGAAAATGTATTTTTTTTCAAACAAAAGAAAAATTGGTCTAATTATTGAATTTTTTTTTTTTAGTGTCAAATCTGAAATTTCATTTAGTAATGGTACTTTTAAAATTCATTTCTAGTAATAGTTGTTGGAATTGTCGCAAATTCCACTCCGTTTATTAGTTTTTTCATTTAATGAGTCAACCAAATGTAATTTATGAGATAAGACGAGTCTACCAAAATTTTATAAAATATGTGTGTTGTTGATTATATATAATGAATTGTCACTTTATCAATAAAAATATAGCGTAATGCAAATGTCATTTCATCTTCTTCTAAAATCTATAGTGAATGTGGCTTTTTATCAATGGATTCTATCGTAATGGTATAAAACAACAACCTCCTTTTTCCCTAAAAATTTGATGGCTCCAAGTTTAGGTTTGTTTTGTGTTTTTTTTTTTTTTTTTTTCTGTTAAGAAAAGGGTAAATAAATAAATTTTGGTTATAAGCAAATTTTTTTTTTTTAGAGCACAAGTAATGGTGATTAATATTTGTCGCTTAGCAAGCAAAGAAAAACAATTCTCGTGAAGAAACAGTCATACAATTAAATACTACTATGATTAGAAGTACTTCAACTTCAACCCCTATAAATACTAATAGTCCCCACCCTCACATGCACTAGTTGATACCTTTAACAACCACTGAATTATTAAGTTTGTTTCTAGATCCCCAAAAGCAGTTTTCAGAGGGTCCAAATCGCATTCTGAGTGGTTTTCTGGTAGAAAAGGTGGTTTTCAGGTACTCCAAAATCATGGGAAATTGCATAGAGACAATCAGACATAGCGAAGAAGTAGAGAGAGGGGAAGAAGAAGTAAAAAATGGTGGTTTTGTTAAGGAAAATGGTGGTATGAGGATCAAAGTAGTGTTGACAAAGGAAGAGTCGGAATTGCTATTGTTTCAGCTGAAGAACAAAGGAGAGAAGATGAGGTTGGAAGATGTGTTGGGAGAGATTGAGAGAGGGAGAGAGCAGAGAGTTGCAGCAGGGTGGAAGCCCTCTCTAGAGAGTATCATGGAGAGCCCTGAAGTACTGCTTGAGATGAACAAATGAGTCATTTTACTTAAACTCCTCTTCTTTTTCTTCTACTGTACTGAGTTTTTCTTTTTTATATGGGTTATAACCCAATTTTGTAATTATGTTTTGTATTAAGACCTCGAGTGATTGGGATGATGAAAAGATGTGTTCTTCAAGCTGAACTCTCTCTCTATATATATTTCCCTTTATTGGGTTTTTGATGTGGTTGATGACTCGAATCTATTAATTGGGATTTTCTTTTCATGTTAATTGGATAGGTCTTTTAAAACCAATCTTTATCCTAAATATTTGCTCTGCTTCTACTTAGTGAGTCTGGATCGCCATCAGTGTTTTATTGTACTGCATTCGACGATCATCATTAATCACAAACGTATATAATTTACACATATGAGTGACGTGGACTATCGAATAACAAGTGTGAGTATTGCACCGGATCCACTCACCTTCTTCTCATCACTTTCAGTATCTAATTATGTGCATTGATATGGCATGCTCTCTCACCTTTAAAGCCATAATTTAGGGCGAAGGGACATGGTTGCTTAACACTTTCCTCAAGCATAAATTAAACTCCGAATCTCACATTTGGTGAAGCAGACCCCAAATGGATTCTTTTGTAGCTGATTCTGATAGCCTCAACTCCTTTCTTTCTTCCAATTAGTCCTCCAAGACCTCCCACAGCATGCTTGTCCACCATACGGGGTTAAGAAGCAACTGGTGCCTAATAATAAGAAGACCCATTTTTTTATTTTTCATTTTTTATTTTTTCTCTCTCTCCTTCTTGAAGGCAAAAATTTTAGGAGTTAGTAGTTAGAAGTGAAGGGAGGGTGCTAATGTGACGTCTTGGATTTTTCGGTATTTTTTGGCCATTTTATTTTTTACCTTAATTGTGCACGGGAATGCATGCCAAGATGTTCCGGGAGTTGGTTGGGACGTTTATTTGGTTTTAGAACCTTTAGAAACTCACTTGAGTTCATTATGGTCATTTTTTAATTTTTAGGGGTCCGGGGTCGCCCCGATTGTGCGAAAATGGCGAGGGCTTAAATGAATGGCCATTGAAGGACATTATTGTTATCTTTTTGGTGGGATATTGCCTTAGTGTAGTTTCATAAAAGTTAATTGGAGAAAGGGAATAATTAGTTATGAAAATTTGAGTTAAATGATGTGATTAGAGGAAAGTTGTGTGGGACTATATATATGATTTGTTTGGCCACAATTCGTCATCTTCCTCTTTCATTTTCTCTCTTTATATCTATAGAATATCAACCTCCATGTATAAGCTTGGGAAAACTTAGATTAGAGACCCTTAACCCATGATTTTGAGCGTACTCTAAAAGGGAAAGTTACTCATCTCCTTCTCCTCTACAGACCCATAGAAAGAAAACATACTTGTAGAGGCTTGGATGAGTTGCCAAAGTATAAATTATTTCTAAATGATTTTTATAAATAAAATCATATGTTGGAGGATATTAGAATTAGATTAAAGAAAATATTCCTTGAATTGTTATTTATTATTAAATGGTTATTTAATTCTTTAAAACGGAATTTTTTGGTGTAAAGAAGTTTCCTAAAAAGGGAATTATATTTGAAAATTTGTTTTGAGTATGTATATGATTAAATCATTTTTATATGGTTTTGGAATTCAAGGATGGACGTGAATTTTATATTGTATAATTATTTATTTACTATCATCTTATATTAAAGGTTAAAACTTTAATTAGGATATTTTGGTTAGAGATGTTTTATTTATCAATTTTCAAAAATTTGGTAGAGGGAGCTTGTTCGTGGGTCTAACCTACGCTTTATTTTTTAAGTTATTAGAGATTCCAATCTCGAGGTTGAGGATCCGTAACTTGGAGACTTGTCTTTCATATACTCATCTCATCTACTTGTAAGAAGTGTTGGCATTTCTTGATAGATGTTAGTTTATTTATGTATGAACTGATGGGTTAGTAGTACATGGTTTAAGAGTCATTGATTTACAGGATTCCCGAGTTGTATTATTAGAGATTTAGATTTATGAAATTTATTTTGTAAGGAATAATTTATTCTATCAATAGAATTTCTTTCAGCTAATTATTTATTCTCTTTATTTCTTTTTGTAATATGTGTTCGTTTATTATTATATTGTTTTTAATATCCCAGGCCTTCAGATGTGGGCCTGGCCAACCTACACGTGAAAATTCGGGGGTATCACATTTGAGTAGAGTTGAAGAGAGAGTAGATAAAGGGCAATCCCCACATGACACGATCCTAATGGGGCAGAACCAAGGTGTAGAAGTGGATGTCAATCCACAAGTACCGATAGACGAGGCCTTGTTGACGAGGGATGTGACCTCAGTTTTTTAGAGTTTAGCACGTACCACTGTTCCACAAGTGATACAACAGCTAATTACTCAACCACATGAGACAGAGATAGAAAGGAACTTTCAGTGCATTATTCAGTTTGATAAGCTTATGAAGGAATCGTTTAAAGGAGGTCCGGATCCAATGGTCATGGATAATTGGTTAAAGCAGATCGAAAAGTATTTTGGGGCAATGGCTGTAATACCCCTAATTTTAAAAGGATAGTCCTGGTATTTAATTAATTGTTTAAATTGCATTTTTAATTATTTAATTGTTTATTGGCGTGTTTATTTGCATTAATTGATGAATTATTTTATTTAATGGTGTTTATTTGAATTAATTAATTGTTTAATTGTATTTTATTTTTTCTATAATTACATTAATTGTATTATTAGTATTTTCTTTGATTAACGTAATTATTTTAATATTTAAATGTGTTAATTGTAATTTAGGGTTTTGTTTTATTTTCTTCACATTGTGGTCGACTAGAATTTAATTTGGGTTTTTTTGTCTCCAATTATAAGTGGACTAGGGTTTTATATTAGCTTATATAAAGAACAGTATGTCTACCAAGGGTTTGTAAACCCAGTTCCCCGTACACAGAGAGACAGAAAGAAATAGAAAGAGGAAAGCTAGGGTTTGGCTTAGACTAAGACTGAACCAAGGAAAGGAAATTGAGCTTGCTTGTGGGTTGAATCAGGAGCAACAGTGGTCGGTGAAAGCAGTAAGGTTGCCGGAATTAGTAGAGACGACATGTTAAGGTTTTGAACGGAAACCTAAAGGCAAGTCTCTATTCTAACTCCTTCCTTTAAACCTGTGTTCTGTGCATGCCTAGGTAGACTCCAGGGGTTTAATTAAGGCTAAAACATATCTGGAATGCATGTTTAAACTGTATTTAGCTTTGTTGAATTTAACTGGTTTGAAAATTCTTAAAGCTTTTAATTGAATCCTACTGTCTTTAAGTTTAAGCTTGGTTTAATTGATATCGTTGAAGCATGTCAATGCCTTATAAATGTTCTGGGATATAGATTAAACACTGGAACAAGTATTAAAAGAATTACAAAGGCCTGGGAATCGCTGGAGGCGAGGGAGACGACGTAGAAAAGGTGAACGGCTTTAGGGAGTGAGAAAGTAGGCTCCCAAAAGGAGAGAGCAAGTTCCCTCATCAATGGAGCCGACTCCAAGGAGTGTGGAGCCGGCTCCTAGCTCCACAGAGCCTGCTCCCAAAGTTAGGGAGCCGGTTCCCAAGTTAATGGAGCAGGCTCTCAACTTATGAAAGCATGCTCTCGTCCCGAGTTACGTTTTAACTGTTTTTAGGGCATTGTTTGGATTGTACAGGGTATTTTTACTTCGTTTAAATTGTTTTAAATGATGTATATGATTGTCATAGACCTGTAAAAATATAGGAAAACAATAATTCATAAATGGATTAAGGAATGGACAGTGTGAACTTAGGGAAAAATCATACATGTTGCACTTTGGTTGTTAATCAACTTAAATACTGGAACTTGGAAATTCTTGTAAATATGATTTAATATTGTTTAAACATATTTAAATATAGATATAAGTATAATGAATTACTTGAAAATAACTATGCTTGATTGTGATTAAATTGATATTTAATTTGCTATAAACTGTATCAATTTAAGAACGATTTGGAAGATTTAAAATTTTTAATTGATTTTAGCAATTTAAATAGTTGGAACATGATTTTTTAAGTTCTATAATGAATACCTAATATCATTGTATGTGTATTAATTTATATTGATGCATATTTTGGAGAATGGTTGATGAATTCCTAGTGTTATTTTATCAATTATGCTAATTAGAGGATTGTATGCGCCGGTATGGGACGGTGGCATACTAGGGATGGATTAGTTCAAATACTAAGTCCTACCTAATTTGGATTGAGATATGGATTAACCATAAAGGTTAAGTCTTACTCATATTTGTGTCATGTCAATAAAATAATTGAATGACCTACTTTGGTTTCTGGATGGATTGTTATATATATATCAGGCCACTATACTAGATGGATGATATTTTGTATTAGGAGTATACGGACTTTATATTTATGTTATGGAGCCATGGTATGAGCTTGAGTCTTAGGACCATAGTTAGGGTGCGTATATCGTCAAGGATGGATAACTGGACATAGGTGTTGTTCCTTGGTAGGTCTAGGTACACATGACCACGTTATGTGCGATTTGCATGGTATCTCTACTCAGGCTGAGATAGACCTGTTGGGCTAGTGAGCGTCCTATAGTGTGTAATTATACATATATGGACTATTCTAGTTATTTTTGAGCTATCTAGGATGTATCTGGGTATCGAGTTTTTGTATGGATCGTAGTAGGATAGGACTTGCATGTGGGCTTGACCCACTCTCCTATTTTTCAGGTGTTCGTTAGTTCCAGGGTTAGCGCTTGATTGTGCAGAGCAGATACAGTGACTCACTCCTCCAACTACGTAGAACTGCTTTCTTTATTTAGCGTTGGATTTTTATTACAGTTATTTCCTTTCCAGTTTGAGATTTTATGAGGGGTCCACTTGATGGATTCCCGAATTGTTAAATTAATAGAGTTATTTTGGATTATTGGATTTTAACAATAGTATCTATTGAGGATTTTATAATTAGAGTTCTTTTCAGCCTTTGTTATTTATTTCTTATT